AGGACTCTTCAGGTGTATTGGGCATATAAGGCTGGGCCTTATATTTTATAGACCAATTGGCGCTAGATGGGTGATGTGGTCAGTATCACATTGTCTGCCATTACTTACCCAGGACTTTACCTGGTACCCATTTAAAGCTGGGTTGACCAGGGTGCCACGGCCATTTTTGAAAAACGTCCGTCTCCGTGAGGACCAAGGTATTTTAGTGCATGTCATCAAATATTTTCTGCTCAGAAAAGATTTAAAATATTGTATTATTCATTGCAAAAATGTCACATTAAATTTTCTTTGCTTGTCAGCAGAAACCATGTTTGAGGGTTTGTGCAGTAGTTCCCATTTATTATGTTGTATCAAACATCAGAATTGCAGTAAATTGCTGAGACTTATTCTGTGGTGTTTTCCGATCTCTACAGAATTGAGCTAATTGAGGAGGAGGGTAAGAAGTCCGGCAGAGGAACAACAGCTGTGTCCTTCAACAGAAGAAAACTTGATCAGAATGAATCCGCAATTGTTGCAAGGGAGGCAATTGACATCAAGGAGAGGTAATCCTGCTAGTGTTTTCTACACATTTCTAGAGGCGATTTGATTGTTTTAGTGAACTGTTTGATTTATTGATGTTGTACTGGCAGTATCTTGTATCATCAGATATGGCTGTCACATATTACAAATCGCCATTTGAGGTGGCAGATTTCACACATAAATCGCCATCTGAGGTGGTGAGATTACTAGCTTCTACAAATTCTCTTCTGCGTCTACCCTTAAAAGGGTAGTTAGCACTTTGTGCTGTGGTTTACAGCTGGTCTGTGATATTTGCGCTTTCATGTCAAAACATTTGATCACAAGCAAATCCTTAATTAGTCATTTTTTGCGACATGCTTATTAGAAGGCAGTGGGTCCGTTCTCCCCCGCCCTTCCCTACCCCTGTAAATGCCCCTTTCTCCCCTCCCCCTGAAATCAGGACATATCAATACAGACTTCTGCCCTTCCTACCTTTTCTTGTATCTGTCTTCTGTCCAAAACTTCTGTCGGCAAGTGACGTCGTGTCTCTCATCATATCTCATGTTCATTAGCGGTCGTCAGTAGTGTGAATCTTTGGATTGCACACAACATAAACCATCATCGATTGAAGCCATAATATCAAAACATAAATCATCAAAGATTAAAACGGTAATATCCACACATAATAAATCATCTAAGATAGCTTTAATATCTCCACATTATAAGTCATCAAAGATTGAACATGTAATATCTACACATTATTAATCATCAAAGATTGAAGCTGTAATATCTACACATGATAAATTCCATTTGTAACAGCCACACTTAATAGATCATTATCTGTGATTGAAGCCGTAACATCCACCCCTATATAACTACTTTTGATTTAAGCCGTTACATCCAAACCTATATCACTACTTATGATTGAAGATGTAACATCCACATGTAGTAAATAACAAAAATTCACCATGTATGCTGCTCTTTTTCAGGCTAATGAACCGTTTTGCCATTGACGTAGGAAAGACAGAGATGGTGGTCTATGCTTGTCCAATGACCGGAAGAACGTAAGTTTACTGGCCCTTAAGTGTTCATTGCCTGAAACCTGAGATGATCTAACTACTTTCACTGTAATTTTTGCGTGGTTATTGTTGTGGTTCTTTCTTCTTCTTCCTCTTTCTCTTCTTCTTCTACTCTTTATTCCCCAGTGGAGCACTCAGGAGTTGAGAATTTGCTTGATTTTATGAGACAACAAAAACAAGAAGAGGAAGAAGAAACAGGAGGAGGAGAACATAAAGAAGAGGAGCAGGAGAAATAGGAATAGCAGACACTGAAGTGAAGAGGGAGAAGAAATGGTGAAGGAGAAAGATGAAAAGAAAAGCAGTGAAGAGGAAGTAAAAAAAAAAAAGAAGACAGAGGAAGTATTGAATGAACAAACTATATTTTCAAAGCAACACGCATTGGGCATGTAGGCCAGTCTTACATTCAGCTCTTCCACGAACTCATCTGTCACAGAGCAATTGTTGTTTGTCTTCTTCTTAGCCTTCACTGGCTGTAAACTCCGGTGGCAAGTCCTGGCTGTTATTTCACTTCTGGAATTTGACCATTTCTATGATCTGAGTTTTACATGCATGTCCATTGGACAGATCTGATGTAGTTGTTTAAAGACTGTTGGTTCCTTGCCTGTCAGCAGAATGCACTCTGATTTTGAAGGAAACATTGATCCTGTCTACATTGACCAGGCCCTCAGTAGAGAGAACCTGTTTCTAGGATGACCGCTGAGAAGTGAATGTAGGTCTTGACCAGTTTGTGCCCTGGTACATCACCATGTATGGTTCAGCACCTCTGCCTCCTGTAGTTTATCTATAAAACATGTTATGGAGCCGTCAGCTGGCCCCCATATCCACCACTGTTTTTGTGTTTACAGATATACGTATGGAGCTCATGGGGCTATTACCCTGGAGAAGCAGTTTGCTGCTGATAGGACATCATTTTTGCACCAAATGACCATTCAGGTAATTAAAAATTCTAGTCAATTCGTCAGTAAGTGAGGGACTTTCAACCCCACCAGGACTGCACAACAAGTAGATAACACCTGGTGACAAAAAGTGCCACCATTCAGATGAGAATACCCCTAATGCAAGTCCCAGAATCCCTGTTCAACCATTAGGTTATATTAGGGCCCTCCAACGACAGCCGGGGTGGAGGTTTAAAATAAAAAAAATTGCAACCCATATTAGGACAGAGTTCTTATGCTCTTCTAGTAGTCCATTCATTTTATTGTAACCCCTTTGTTTAACTTTAAATCTTGGACTTTTGTAGTCTCTTTATATTATTATAGAATGTCTTGGTTAATTTTAGCCCCTTTTTAAAGATAGTAACCTTTATGTATGATTGTAGCCTCTTTGTGTGGCTATATCCCTCTCGGATGATTGTAGCCTCTTTGTGTGGCTATATCCCTCTCGGATGATTGTAGCCTCCATGTGTGACTATAGCGCTCTTGGATGATTTTAGCCTTCTTGTCTGGCTGTATCCTTCTTGAATGATTGTAGCCACTTGTGTGGCTGTAGCTTTCTTGGATGATTGTAGCCTGCTTCTGTGGCTGTAGCTCTCTCGGATGATTGTAGTCTGCGTATGACTAGTTCTCTCGGATGATTGTTGTCATTTCATATAATTGGAGCCCTCTTGTATTACATGCCTACTTGTTTGTATCCCTCTTTAGGACTGTAGTCTGCCTTGGATGACTGTAACAGTTCTAAGTGGTTGTGGCTTCTTCGTATGTCTAGTCCTATTGGGTGATTATTGTCATAAGATTGTAATTTTCTTATATCTCTGAAGCTATCTCATATAGTTGTTGCTTCTCATATTTTTTTTCTTATGAAAACATAATGTGTGACATTTTTTTAACAAAGCCTGTTGTGATTTATAATAATGGTTGGCATCACTGCGCATTGGAAATTCTCATTGCATGCACAGTCCTTCAATGCAGCAGCCATTCTAAGGTACCTTTACTGACTGTTCCTATGAGGAGCTGGTTATTGTGTCTCCTATCTCAGCCTCAGAAACAGCATAGACCTGCTTTACCATGCTTTACTCACATGTCATACATTCGTGGTAATGTCAGAGATTCGTCATTATCCTCTCACCCAGTCCGTGCAACATTGATGATATCTGCTGTGCCCATGCTTCTCCCCACATGTGTTAGTGCAATGCTTGCAGGTGGGTCCGCTCGTTCATCACCTTTCACACTGACATGGCCAGGTGTATAGATCCAGGTAAGGGAGGTTGAGTGCAATTTTCTAAAGCTTTCTACCTATTCAGAGCACAAATTATTTTTTTTGCAACTTTATGAAGTATGTTCATGGAATCTGATAAGATTACTGCGTGATGTGTGGCTGTTTGTTCTGCTGCCCATGATAGTGCTCTGGAAGCAGCGGTTATCTCCATGCTCATGCTTGAAGTGGTTACTTGGTCGGCACTACTGTCCTCTTCTATTGTTTTCCCTACCCTTTATGCTGTCTGTGCACATCCTGACCTTGATCTGCGCTTCACAGACCCATCTATAGAGATAATGATGTTTTCTGAGCGTGAATGCTGATCTGTCTGTCAGTGGCCTTGTCTTGGGGTGTCTACAGCTGCAGGAATCTGATCCCTGTAGTACCTCCCCAGTGTGGTGACAACCTTAGAAAGGTCATGCATGTCAACTGGTGTATCCGTTCATTGTTTTCTATGACTAATCTCATCTAGGTCACATACCTGTATTTGGGGTTTTAAGTCTGAAGATTAAAGGCCAAATGTTTAGGGTAGTCACCATGAGTTGTGCAGGTTAGGTTGTTTTTTCCCCTCTATGTGGGTTAGGAGGCCCCATTGTGGGAAAAATAAGAATAGAGTTACTGTCTCCCCAACAAGCATGTCGTATAAGTCAGCTAACTGGGGTTGAGTTGTGCAGGTTAGGTTGTTTTTTTCCCTCCATGTGGGTTAGGAGGCCCCATTGTAGGAAAAATAAGAATAGAGTTACTGTCTCCCCAACAAGCATGTCGTATAAGTCAGCTAACTGGGGGCTTTCTTCGAAGTTGGAGTGCATCTGAATTAAATTTTCAGCCTCGGCCATCCAGGAGCAGCCTCTTTTGAGAGGCATTTCTTTTATATCATTGATGGCTTTGTGCAGTGGGCCTCAGCTGTCCAAGAGCGGCCTCTTTTGAGAGGCATTCCTTCTATATCATTGATGGCTTTTTGCAATGGGTAGTTGGCATCTATCGATACCCTCACATATGCCCTGACCTGTGCAATTTTGTGTCTGGTAGTCATTGGCGGTGAGCCCAGGACATATCGCATGGTGAGAAGTGTATTTTGTGCAGCTGTGTGTGCATCTCATCACCTTATTTTGTACTTGGTCCAGTTGAAGCCAGTATGAAGTAAAGGGGGATAATGGATGTTTATGGAACACTTTCGTTAATAAAAGCCTACATTACTGTGACTTTTGAGGGTCTGTTTGTGCCTTCCAGGATCTGCAAGTTGAGGAGTCTGGTCACACAACTTTCAGGACACTTCAAGAGGTATTCCCCACAGACAGCACAGTTTTCATGGTCGGCAACCCACATTATGGAGCTCAGGGCAAGGTAAAGGTCTCACATTTGTTTCTATATACATTTTTTTTCTCCCCAGCTGTTTGAATGAATGGTTGATTGATTGGTTGAGCTGCTGTTTGATGGAGTGAATTCTAAGATCATGTGTAATATCATGAACAGTAGGCAGGCAAGCTCAGAGACTCCCACAATTTTCTTTGAATAATGTCTAGATTGTTCAAGGAAAGAAAAAGAGTGCTGAAAAGGGAAGTGGGGGGGGGGGGGGGGGGGGGGCACACACAAAAACAGTCAAACATTTTGACTGAGGTGTTTGCCAAAAAGCCCCACAATAAAATTAAAAAAACATAACATCATTGATGCCATCCCCTGCACAGGGAAGTCATAACTATATGAATAGCTGAATAGCCCAGTAACTGTGTGAGTAACTTAATAAGTGTATGGATAACTTTTAATTACTACGTAAATAACTAAATAAATATGTGAATAACAGTGCAATATCCATAAAGTTAATATCTTACCTTTCCCAGGTGTTGGAAGTTCTACCAGAAGAGGTCAGAGTGAGGATTGTATTGCATGTGACCGAAGAACCAGACTTCAGGAACATAGAACAGTCGGTGAGTACAAACTCCCCAGTAAAACATCCACTTTAAGAGGTTTTAAAAAAACAAAACTCTTATAGTGTGCAACATGCAGGACATTGCATAGCTGGCAGAGTATCTATAGTATGATTACTCTTTAGCCACATTCACAAGAGTTGCCTCAGTGGTGGGACCTAGGCTGCATACAGTGATGGGACCTAGGCTGCATACAGTGATGGGACCTAGGCTGCATACAGTGATGGGATCTAGGCTGCATACAGTGATGGGACCTAGGCTGCATACAGTGGTGGGACCTAGGCTGCATACAGTGATGGGACCTAGGCTGCATACAGTGATGGGACCTAGGCTGCATACAGTGATGGGACCTAGGCTGCATACAGTGATGGGATCTAGGCTGCATACAGTGATGGGACCTAGGCAGCATACAGTGATGGGACCTAGGCTGCATACAGTGATGGGACCTAGGCTGCATACAGTGATGGGATCTAGGCTGCATACAGTGATGGGACCTAGGCTGCATACAGTGATGGGACCTAGGCTGCATACAGTGATGGGACCTAGGCTGCATACAGTGATGGGACCTAGGCTGCATACAGTGATGGGACCTAGGCTGCATACAGTGATGGGACCTAGGCTGCATACAGTGATGGGACCTAGGCTGCATACAGTGATGGGATCTAGGCTGCATACAGTGATGGGGACCTAGGCTGCATACAGTGATGGGACCTAGGCTGCATACTGTGATGGGACCTAGGCTGCATACAGTGATGGGACCTAGGCTGCATACAGTGATGGGACCTAGGCTGCATACAGTGATGGGACCTAGGCTGCATACAGTGATGGGATCTAGGCTGCATACAGTGATGGGACCTAGGCTGCATACAGTGGTGGGACCTAGGCTGCATACAGTGATGGGACCTAGGCTGCATACAGTGATGGGACCTAGGCTGCATACAGTGATGGGACCTAGGCTGCATACAGTGATGGGACCTAGGCTGCATACAGTGATGGGACCTAGGCTGCATACAGTGATGGGACCTAGGCTGCATACAGTGATGGGACCTAGGCTGCATACAGTGATGGGATCTAGGCTGCATACAGTGATGGGATCTAGGCTGCATACAGTGATGGGATCTAGGCTGCATACAGTGATGGGACCTAGGCTGCATACAGTCCTGGGACCTAGGCTGCATACAGTGATGGGACCTAGGCTGCATACAGTGATGGGACCTAGGCTGCATACAGTGATGGGATCTAGGCTGCATACAGTGATGGGACCTAGGCTGCATACAGTGATGGGACCTAGGCTGCCTACAGTGATGGGACCTAGGCTGCCTACAGTGATGGGATCTAGGCTGCATACAGTGATGGGACCTAGGCTGCATACAGTGATGGGATCTAGGCTGCATACAGTGATGGGATCTAGGCTGCATACAGTGATGGGATCTAGGCTGCATACAGTGATGGGACCTAGGCTGCCAACAGTGATGGGACCTAGGCTGCATACAGTGATGGGACCTAGGCTGCACACAGTGATGGGACCTAGGCTGCATACAGTGATGGGATCTAGGCTGCATACAGTGATGGGATCTAGGCTGCATACAGTGATGGGATCTAGGCTGCATACAGTGATGGGACCTAGGCTGCATACAGTCCTGGGACCTAGGCTGCTGCATACAGTGACCTGGCTGCATACACCTAGGCTGCATACAGTGATGGGACCTAGGCTGCACACAGTGATGGTCCCATCACTGTATGCAGCCTAGGTCCCATCACTGTATGCAGCCTAGTGATGGGACCTAGGCTGCCTACAGTGATGGGACCTAGGCTGCCTACAGTGATGGGACCTAGGCTGCATACAGTGATGGGACCTAGGCTGCACACAGTGATGGGACCTAGGCTGCCTACAGTGATGGGATCTAGGCTGCCTACAGTCGTGGGACCTAGACTGTATGCATCGTGGGATCTAGGCTGCATACAGTCGTGGGACTTGAGCTGCACTCTCTTGTGCAACTTAGGTGGATTGGGGCTAGCTCCAGTTGTGTAGATGTTTTGGAATCATTAAAAGCACTCACATCGTGGAATATAGAACACTCAGTATCGCCAGTAGCTGATAACTTTGTTGTTGTTGTTGAGTGGTTAGGAAAATGCTGTTTTGCAATTTGTTTGTGTAAAACAGTATGTGTAATCGGGCAGGATAAATTGCCAGTTGTGGTACTGTGGTGGTGGCCCTTAAAAGTGCCAATCATTCAAGGTGTATACTGCTGGATTCACGCAAGACTTGACATCAGAACTATTTTACATGTTGGTAGATCTGAAAAAAGGTCAGAATGCAGCACCTGATGTTGCGACGGCAGCAGCAGCAGCAGAGACAATAAACTATTTTTGTGGTAAGACCATCACATGATTATTGCCACAACGTCTGGTGCTATGCAGAATGCCATGTTGTTGCAGGAAAGCTACGCTGCTCTCCTTGTCAGGCACCTATGCTGCTAATTCCAGGAAATTCATGGCAATGAAGACTGAACACACGCTGGAGAGACATCACAAACACAAGCCGCTGGAAGGATGCCGCTGGAAGTAGAAATGTGCTAAAACCTTGGCAACACCTTGAAAGGCACACAGACAGTGGTAAAGCCTGCTCTTACCACCCTTGAAAATATTGGACTGTCCTGTGACGTCATCTGTGGTGAAATATTGGATAAAAACTGCACTTTGTGTCACCGGGTGTTAGTTGCTCGTTGTGTCACTGGGTGTTGGTTGTTCGTTGTGTCACCGGGTGTTAGTTGCTCGTTGTGTCACCAGGTGTTGGTTGCTCATTGTGTCATTGGGTGTTGGTTGCTTGTTGTGTCACCGGGTGTTGGTTGCTCGTTGTGTCACCAGGTGTTGGTTGCTCATTGTGTCACTGGGTGTTGGTTGCTCGTTGTGTCACTGGGTGTTGGTTGTTCATTGTGTCACTGGGTGTTGGTTGTTCATTGTGTCACTGGTTGTTGGTTGTTCATTGTGTCACTGGGTGTTGGTTGTTCATTGTGTCACCGGGTGTTGGTTGCTCATTGTGTCACTGGGTGTTGGTTGTTCATTGTGTCACTGGGTGTTGGTTGCTTGTTGTGTCACCGGGTCTTGGTTGTTCATTGTGTCACTGGGTGTTGGTTGTTCATTGTGTCACTGGGTGTTGGTTGTTCATTGTGTCACCGGGTGTTGGTTGCTCATTGTGTCACCGGGTGTTGGTTGTTCATTGTGTCATCAGGTGTTGGTTGCACGTTGTGCAGTCCTGGTGGGTTGAATGACATACATACATACCTATTGTATTAAGAAATTCTTGAATGTGTGGGTGATCATGCCTCTACACAACCTGATGTCTTCATTGACATGTATCAATTCATGTGCTGACTTTATTTCATGCTATAACAAGAATCTTCTCACATTGCCTTCCTCTGTTTCTCTTTCCAACTGGTCACAGAATGTTCCAGTTTACCCTATTCTCATACTTAGCAAAAAAAAAAAAAAAAAAAAAAAATGTCTTCTCCCATGTGAGTGCCAAGACCTACGGGCCCTTAAGCATGTCGTAGCGATGTTTCATTTGAAGAGAATTAATTGCCCATGTCAGTAGGAGACAATCTATATTCTTTGGTCATGTCATGAGAAGGAGAAAACTGGAGTCATCCTATTGGTGGGAAAGTTGGAGGGGAAAAAAGGCTGAGGGAAAAATAATGTTCACATGATGTTCAGATAAATTTCATGTGATGCTTCAACAATGTTTAGATGATGCTCAGATGATGTTCTTATTAAGCTGACATAATGTTCAGATAACGCTCACAAGATGATCAGATAATGCTCACGTGATGTTCAGATACTGTTCACATGATACTAAGATAATGTTTACATGATGCTCTTAAAATATTCACATAATGCTGTAATAATGTTCACATGATGTTCTTATGGTTATGTTCATACAATGTACTGGTAATGTACATTGGATGTTCTATGATAATAGTCATATCAGGTTCTGATTATGTACCTTGAGATGTTTTTATGAAGTTCTCATGATGTACATTGTATGTTCTTACAATGTTCAATTAATGTTCTTTTAATGTTCATATGATGAATGAATCTACAGAATCCGAGAGGAAGATACCTCAACAGCTACCAGGCGGCCCAGCAGATCGGCATTGACTCACACATATTGTCACGCATCACTGGCTCTGTGTTTGTAGAGAAGACTGGCTCCCATGGAGCCCGGGTCAACATTGGGCTGAACCTTAAGTTCACCAAGAAGGGGGAGGAGGTTCCAGGCTACACCAGGAAAGAGGAGAACGGCTGGTGCTACAGCTACAAGTGTGTGAAAACTGTAGAGGAGTACATCACCAGGTGAGCGGCCTAATTATTTATTGCAGGGGAGTCAGTCTTCATTTAATGTAAACAGGAAAATGTTATCAACAAGTGGATCTGTAAAACTGTCTTGGAACAGTCATAGCATATGACGCAGATTGCTTTCCAGATGTTAAAACAGAAATCCAATTGCAAAAGTGGCCTTTCAAAAAATGCTAAAAATTATACTCACAATAAAAGGATCAAACCAAAGGAGAAAGTTGAACTTGTCACCTTCTCATTATCACAGTGTGGGTTCATCTGAGTAACAATTCGACATCACAGCATTAAGGACAAGCTCCTGTCAGCTACGTCTCAATCCTTGGCAGCCAGCAAAAACTAACACTAAAAATTGTAAAACAGATGTGCACGCAAGACTTAAGTTTTGAGGTCACAGTCAAAAACAAAAAGTAGACGCTGAGGCTAGAAAGCCTTCATCAACATGTGATGTATAGACAGTTTTAATTACAAACAAGATTATACAAAAATCAACTGAGGTCTCATCAAGAGAAATCCACATGTCTGTCTGGCCGATTGAGACTGTCACTATAAAAGGATGTCACTGGCAGGGAGTAAAACTTCATTAACACAAACTCCCCTAAGAAGAACACTCAGTTAACATGAATAAAATTGTGGTCCTAGCAGGGCTGTATTACTTTTATTAATCCCTGTATAGCACAATTTTTTTTAAAACAAACTCAGTTGTTGGTCCCTTGGATTTCATGTTAATTAGGTTTTACTTTGCTTAGAAGCTCACTTGTAAATATGCATGGGAGGCATGGATAATAAACAGAAAAGCTAAAAACTGGCAGCGTAAATGTGGATTTTGAGAAGACTACAGTTAATATCACGGAATGATAAAAAAACAAATGAGGCAATTCTCTTTGAGATTCTTTTAGTCTTTTTTTTTTACCTCGGTCTTTTGATTAAATGTCTCCATTTCTTCTACATCTTTTGATTAAATGTAAGACAATCTTTATTTATTCTTCATGTTTTGATTAAAGGGAAGACAGTTTGTGTTTTACTCTTTATTACACAGAAGAATTTTACATAAAAAAAATCTATTGAGAGGTTTTTGATCTTTTTATTTTTGGTCAAAAAAAAAAAAAAGCCTGCCTCTACCGCCAATAGTACTATATTTTTAGGGTGTTGTAGGACGGGTGTTTGGGGTCTTAAGTCTGAATATTAGAGGCCAAATGGTTAGGATAGTCACCATGAACTGTGCAGGTTAGGCTGTTTATTTTCTCCATGTTGGTTCAGACGCTTCATTGTGGGGAAAACAGGAATATTTTCATTGCCTCCCCAACAAGCATGTCGTATGAGTTGACTAATTGGGGGCTTTCTTTGAAGTTGGAGTGCATCTACCTGAGAGGCAAGGAACCAGCAATTTGCATACATATAAGCCAGATTTGTCAAACAGATGTGCACACATCACTCAGAGTCTGGAACAAGACTAGAGTCCAGTCGTGGACAAACAACCATAACTTTCTGCGAGTGAAGGCAAAGAAGAAGAAGAAGAAGAGTGTTTATTTTTGCTTCCAAAAGAAAAAACCCATCACCTTACTGAGAATTTGAACATGGGTCTTCAGCCTGAAAACCCACTTTTTTAACCACTCGGCCAACCACTCCTCTTGTTATGACCCTTTATTTCACAGTCCATAATTGTTCATAGGGTTAATGTTTAATTTTAACCCTTCTTCTTCTTCTTCTTCTTCTTCTTCTAGGTCTCCTTCTGCCTCTTTACGTTTCCATATTTTGGCTAATGCTGTCATTGGATTCGTTCTCCCTAAAGGGCCAAACAAATTCGGTCTTTTTTGTGAATGAATGTCAATCATTCAATCAATCAGTTGCCGTCTCTACAATGAATGTTGGCTGCAATGGATCTCCTACAAGCCCTGTCTCTAGCCCTTGATGTACACTCGCTGATGTACTGAAGGTTATTGTTCCTATAGTTCTTCTAATCTCTTCATTTCTCACATAACTTTTTTTAACACCCATAAAATCTGTTGTGGGGATTACATTGAAACGTTATCACACTAGAAAATCTCAGATTGCAATAATTTTAACCTCTGTCACACCCAGAGCAGAAGAGTAACATTCATAGTGCTTTGCTGTGTCTTCCTGTTTAGATTTCCTGACCTTTGGCTGCGTGTGCAGAAACAGAATAGCAACACCGATAACTTCACAGAAGAAGCTCTCTTCCCCGAAGGAAGGTAAGTGGATGTCATATGTATCCTAGATTTGAGCGAGTTCTCATGTCATGTGTATCCTAAATTTAATTGAGTTCTCATGTCATGTGTATTCTAGATTTAAGTGAGTTCTCATGTCATGTGTATCCTAGATTTGAGCGAGTTCTCATGTCATGTGTATCCTAGATTTGAGTGAGTTCTCATGTCATATGTATCCTAGATTTGAGCGCGTTCTCATGTCATGTGTATCCTAGATTTGAGCGAGTTCTCATGTCATATGTATCCTAGATTTGAGCGAGTTCTCATGTCATGTGTATCCTAAATTTAATTGAGTTCTCATGTCATGTGTATTCTAGATTTAAGTGAGTTCTCATGTCATGTGTATCCTAGATTTGAACGAGTTCTCATGTCATGTGTATCCTAGATTTGAACGAGTTCTCATGTCATGTGTATTTTAGATTTAAGTGAGTTCTCATGTCATGTGTATTCTAGATTTGAGTGAGTTCTCATGTCATGTATATCCTAGATTTTAGTGAGTTCTCATGTCATGTTTATCCAAAATTTTAGTGAGTTCTCATGTACCTTGTTCACTGCGCACACCTGCATATGTTTTGTCTTCTTCTGCATTCACCCTTGAAAGGGCAGGTGGCACATTATCTTGTGGTTCACAGGTAGACTGGGACAGCTGTGTCTTTCAGCCCATCACATCTGATTTCAGCAAATCCTTAATTAGTCGCCTTTTACAACATGATTGTTACGGAGCAGTGTGTGCCCCCCCCCTCCCCCCTATGCCCTACCATGCCCTCCCCACAAATGCCCTACCCCAATGGGGCTCAGGAACCATGTGGGAAAAACATTCACATAACACTGTCAGTATACAGTATATTCTTCTTTTTCTTTTTGTTCTTCAATATTCACCCTAAAAAAAAGACAGTTGGCACGTTATGTTATTGTTTACAGCTAGTCTGTGATATCTTCAGCTTTCAGCCCAGCACATGAGATTTGATCAAATCCTTAATTTACCTGCATTTTACGACATGCTTGTTAAGATTTTCTTCTTTTTCAAAACTGGGGCTGCAGAACCCAAACAGGGATCCAAGAAATTAATTTGACACTTCACAGCAATGCCAGAATGCAATTAATGTGGTTTCAACAGTATATCAGCATTACTTGAATATTCACAAATTGTCAGCTAGCCTCACAAAAAGTCAAGCCAAATCCTAACAGTATCACTTCTACCCACACTCACAGACTACAGTAAATGTTTTCATTCTTACAAATTTTTCTTTGCTGCTGTATGTCGTCTGCTACTATCTCTATCGTAAAACTTTATTGATGGCAGAGCGATCTCCTTTGTACTGCATCATTTTGCTCATCTGGTTAAATTTTTTTTTTAGTCTTTATTGCCTAAATTTACCACTTTTTAGGAAAAGCGGGTCTTGATTCTCAGAATATAGGGCAGCGTAGCTAGTGCATTTGCCATGCACTGTGCAGGTCAGATTTTTATTTAAGTTAAGACAGCTGCTCATCTGATTATATCTGGCCAAGGTCTCAGGCCGGGTGTCTTATTTGTTTCTCTACTTTGGTTCTACAGCTCTACAAAACTAGCAGACGTGCTGAAGTTTCTGGAGGAACTGCCATGCACCAAAGTGCCTAGGATGAAAACTGGATCTGAAATACTGGACGAGGAGCATGTTGAGCTCATAGAAAAAATGACAGTAAGGATATTTTATTATCTTCTTCTGCTTCTTCAAATGACGTACTTACTGTGTTGGCGATAAACATCGTGAACCGATGAGGTAATTACTGTGTGTTGGTGATAGATGCACTGCTGTCATAATAGGGTTAGGGTTTGGGTTAGGGTTAGGGTACTGGTACTCCTTAAAACTACGGCCACTCCTAACCCTACCCCTAACCCTAACCCAAACCCTAACCCTAACACTAACCCTAACCCTATTATGACAGCAGTGCATCTATCGCAAACACACAGTAATTACGTTATTTGTGTCGTTCCCTCTTGTCCACTCCATAATTGCAATGCGGCCAGGGGACTGAGCTTCGGCGTACTCCATAATAAGTGGCCGTAGTTGTAAGGAGAACCCTTCTTCTTCTTCTTCTTCTTCTTCTTCTTCTTCTTCTTCTTCTTCTTCTTCTTCTTCTTCTTCTTCTTCTTCTTCTTCTTCTTCTTCTTCTTCTTCTTCTTCTTCTTCTTCTTCTTCTTCTTCTTCTTCTTCTTCTTCTTCTTCTTCAGCTCCTCCTCCTCCTCCTCCTTCTTCTTCTTCTTCTACTTCTTCTTCTTCTTTTTCTTCTTCTTCTTCTCTTCCTCCTACTTCTCTTCCTCCTACTTCTCCTCATCCTCTTCTTCCTCTTGTTCTTCTTCTTCTTCTTCTTCATGTTTACTGGCTATAAACTCTGGCTGAAAGTTCTGGTTGTTTGTCCACCGGACTTTAGTCTTGTTCCAGATTCTGAGTGTTGCGTGTACATTAGTTTTACAGATCTGAATTATTTGTATGCTGATTGATGATTCTTTGCCTCTAAAGCAGATGCACTCCAACTTCAAAGGAAGCCCCCAGTTAGTTGACTCTTACAACATGCTTGCTGGGGAGGCAGTGGGTATATTCTTACATTTCACACAGTGGGGCCCCGGAACCCACACGGGGAATGTTTTATTATAGTTGTGTGATTATGAACTATTGTCATAATAATTTTAAGTTACTGTTGTTTGACAAGGGACGGTTTGGACAAGTAAAAAAGATTGACATTATGTTAAAAAAAAAAATAATAATTGTGTGGCAATATATATATAGACTTCGCCGACGACATAGCACTCCTGAGTTCAGAACACACAGACGCCCAAGAAAAAATCAATCGACTCCAGAAATTCTCAGAACAAATTGGACTCCAAATTAACACCGCAAAAACAAAAATTCTAGACTTTACCAAAAGTTCAGTTGATATCACGCTGAACAACAACAGCCTTGAAAAAGTCAACAGTTTCACTTATCTAGGGAGCAAGATGTCATCTAGAGGAGATACCGCACCAGAAATACCATTTAGAATAGCACTGGCATCTAGTGCCTTCAATAAACTGTCTAACATCTGGAAATCAAAGACACTTAGCAAACACACAAAACTCAAGATCTTCCATTCTTGTGTGATTCCAGTACTAACCTATAGATGCGAGAGCTGGAAATCAACGAAAACTGTAGACACAAAATTAGACAGTTTTGAAAATAAATGCCTTAGAAGAATACTAAATTTCAAATGGTCAGATTTCCGAACAAATACACAAATAAGGCAAGAATCCAGGCAAGAGTATGTGTCTAATTTTATACGAAAACGCCGCTGGAACTATGTCGGCCACGCCCTTAGAATGGATAAATCAAGACTTACTTACCAAGCCCTCATTTGGACACCACAGGGGAAAAGATCTCGTGGAAGACCAAGGCAAACCCTACGTAGAACTATCATCAGGGAAGGCTCGCTCATGGGCCACTCAAACATCCAAGACCTACAACGGATTGCAACGAACCGCCATGCATGGAGAGTCATGACCTCTGCCCTATGTGCCGCACTCGACACAAGAGGAAAGACTAACTAACTAACTATATATTTTAAATTATCTGTTGATGGATAAGCTGGACAGATGAAGCGGGATATTAATTAGATTTTATTGTTGCTTGAAGAGGGTCTTCCTATTTTACCACTCCGGGTGTCGGGGGAGAGATAAAATTCTGCTTCTTGCTCTTCTGGTCACCTCGATCGTAGACCCACCATACTCTTATAGAGTTTGTCTGATTTTGTCTTTCCATGTTGTTGGTCTACCTTATGTTTAGTACCCCTCTCCCTCTTTGGTGTATGCCTTTTATGGTATTGAAGAGGGTTATTTACCCAAATATTGAAATTGACAATAAGGATATTGAATTTTGAGTGGTGAGGGGCAAGTTAACCATAATGAAAGAAAGACACTGAGGTTGTTTAATTTTTTTTTCTCTTTTCTGGTTAGTGAGGGAAGTTAGTATCAGGAGGAGAGTCGGCACAGAACCAATACATAATTTTATCTGTAGACAACTCGGACACACAGAAGATAGACCATGGAAATATTGAAGACACTGAAAAGTATTGTATAGAAAGGCCGGTTTCAGAGGTCTCTTCCTGCCCTGACACTGAGGCATTCCAGGAGTAGAGAAATGAAGAAGAAGAAGAGGAAAGTTGGCTAATGTTAACAGTCTTTTTAACTAAAAAATTTACCGGTCTGTTGTTTTCTCTTAAATTTTAGGCTGTGTTAAACCCAAAGCCTGACATTGTCAAGGTCAAGGTGAAACCAAGACTTCTGTTCAGGGTAAGTTATGAGAGTTTTTAATGGAAAAGGTCACTGTTATTGACTGACTGATGCTTCTGGAAGAGTTGAACCCCTTTTTCCCCGTCACACTAAATAAAATAGGTCAAGACATGTTAGAATTTCAGGAAAAAAAAATATGTTGGATATATCCTGTTCGGTTGATATCTAGGATGAAGCTTTACTTAGTGTGGAAGAGACGTATCGAGTACAACAATCAGACTTTCTCCGTTTTTGTTGGTTTAGCCATTGGATTATTTTAAATGCATATTATAGTTTAATCTGCACCTGTGTTGTAACCTGTGTTTCTGATTTTATCTATGTTTCTGATTTAATATAAGGCTCTGATTTAGCTCTTTCACTCCAAAGGAGCACCTCGTATGTTTATAGGTTGCTACCTAGAAGCCCAGCATATGCAAGATGCACTAATTTTACCTCTCTTTTTACTACTCCTTAAAGCCTGTGATGCTTAATCCCCTAGGACTGCCTTTTTGATTTTTATCTAAAATTTCTGATTCAATCTAATTTTGTGATTTTTTTTTTTTTTTTTTTTGGCAGTTCTGATTTAAGCTGTATTTTTTTTATTTAATCTACATTTATCGTATAATGTACATTTCTGATTTAATCTGTTTTTTTTTTAAATCTACATTTATCGTATAATGTACATTTCTGATTTAATCTGTATTTTTTTTATTTAATCTGCATTTATCGTATAATGTACATTTTTGATTTAATCTACGTTTGTATTGTTCAGCCTCTGCCCAACCAAGGCTGTTTGGTGCCTGACCCTGGTACAGACTTCCGACTCTATGATCGCGTTGTGGTGGTAAAATCTGGATATTCTGTTCCCTTTGGCCGACGGGGGACCATCATTGGCATTCCCAGCGAAGAGGATGGCGGAGTGACTCCCAACAGCTTATATGATGTTGTGTTCGATGAAGCTTTTGCAGGAGGAATAACCCTGAGGTAAATGAACTTGTGGTGTGATTTCCCGAAAGTGGGGGGTAAAGTTGGGAAACCATGGTAGTTCAATATCTAGACTGCCACTACTAGGACTTTGGTTCGTATCTACATTAAATGATCTTGTGATGTGGTTTCTGCAGCAAGCGTGGGGTAACGCTGAGAAGCAATGGTATTGCAGTAGCTAGACTGCTGGTCATAGGACTTTAGTTCATCTTCTAAGTGTTCACTGGCTGTGAACACATACTTTCGATCTGTTCTCCAGGCTATGCCGATGTGGTGGGTAATGAACCGGCAGAGAGATTGGCTGGATCTGCACCACTGGGTGGTGAATTGATACATAACAAGGCAGATGTGGTCAAGGCTCTTTGGGAACAAGCAACGGAATCAGTGGAAAAACAAGATTATTATGGCCTAGAGAGAATGAGGTACCTGGGTGTACCCAGAGGGTCTGGCTAGCTCACTACACTCGGAGGAAAAGCAAGACGGAAATATAACCAGATTGTGACCAGTACCATCAGTATTGGAACTCTGCAATGGCTGCTGAAGATGAGTACAGAGCATGCCTAGGAATGCCCTGAGTGCTGTGATGTCAATTTTTGACTCAATTCAACTCTGGCTGTGAACGCCTGCTGTAAGTTCCTGGTTGTTTATTCAGTTCTGGATATTGATCTTATTCCTCCCTGTGTGGGTTCCGGGACCCGACTGTGGGGCCAAAAAAAGAATAGACCACTGCCCCTCTAACAGGCATGATGTGAAAGGCGACTAAATAGGGGTCCTTTCTTCGAAGTCAGTGCATCTGCCTGAGAGGCAGAATCAACAGTAGGCATACAAATAAGCCACATCTGTAAAAGGGATGTGCACGCAAAATTCAAGTTCTGGAACAAGAGCAAAAAAGTCCAGACATGTTCGAACAACCAGAACTTTTCACGGGAATTTACAGCTTGTGAATGTGAAGACCAAAAAAAAGAAGATCTTATTCCAGGACTTGAGTGTTGCATTCACATCTGTTTGTGTGCAGACTGTTGGTTTGTTGCTTCTTAAGTAGATGCACTCTGACTTCACAGTAAACATCAGTCCACCTATACTGGCCAAGCTCCTGGTTGGGAACCTGTTTCTAGAGGTGTAGATAGGTCTTGATCACTACGAGCCCTGGTTCTACTGCACAACCATGTGTGTTTCAGCACCTCTGTATTTTTGTCTGTCGTTCAAACCTACATTAAATGAACTTGAAATGTGCTGTTTTCTACAGCAAGCATGGGGTAAAGTTGTAAAGCAAAAGTAATACATGGCTTGACTGCTGACCTTAGGCCTTTAGTTCAAATAAGGGTAGTGAGCATACTTTGGATCTTTTCTCCAGGCTATGCCGGCATGGTGGGAAATGAACAGGCAGACAGATTGGCTGGATCTGCACCGCTGGGTGGCGAATTAATAACAAGTAATGAATTCAGAAGAGAAACTCTGATTATTGTCCTGCCTCTTAAAAATGGACACTAAATAACTTCTAGAATTTCCCCGGATATTCTGAGAGTGAGATAGGGTGAGAAAAGGATATGGCCACCTCACAGTTGTCTGCCTTTGAATAATGGCCATTGTCGATTGGTCCCCACCAAAAACACAAAAAATGGTTGACACTTTCCATTTCTGGAGACAGCTTTTATAGAGTTTGCTCTCTAGACAGTTGCAGTTGCCTGCTGTCGGGATTCTGTTTTCCCGGATAGGGAGCTGCCACAATCAGAACATTGTGAAGGCAGCGTGGTTGAAGCGGCTAAATATATCGGTTATTATCCTGCCGCAACATAGCACACCACAAAACACGCTGCTCCCACAAAAAACGCACAAAATAACAGTCCATGAAAAAGGAACAGAATAATCCAAGGGTTATCACAGCCATTGAAAATTAAAACACCGCTGCTATTCGCTACTTTGAAAGCATACCCTTTGAATAAAGCAACATAGTTCAGTATTTCCATAAATTTAGCACAGTCCTTATCTTATATGTTATGACCTAGAGTATAAGAAGACCTCCCTAAGTGTGTTCTGGTAACCCATTTTTTTGGGGGGGGGGGGGGGGGGGGAATATGATGACCTTACACTGCTCACCCTGAGTCTGTATCTGCTCTTGGATTATCTTGACTTTGTTCTTGTGTCTTCAGGTGTTCACCGGGTAAAGGCTATAGAGTGCCAGGTTCTGCCATGCTAAATCTCACTTATGGAGAGTTCCGGAAAGGCCAACCAAACACGGGTGGCAGACTTCCATTGAGGTTTGTGTTTCCATCTGGTAGCTCGACCACAGATTTCTGTGTATTTTGTTATACCATAATATTAGTGGAATATGCTTCTCGTCATCATCATCATCGTCGTTACCACCCATGTGGGTTCAGGTACTGCTCGTTGTTGGAGGGTGGGGGGTGGGGATAGACCTGCTGCTCCCTTAACAAGCATATCGTAAAAGTCAACTAATTAAGGTGTTTCCTTCCAAGTCGCAGAGCATCTGCCTAAAGGACGAGAAGCCAAGCCTGCTTACAAGTGAACCGGATCTGTAAAATGGACGTGCATGTCAAACTCAAGTTCTAGAACTAGATTCAAGTCCAGAAGTGGGTGAACAACCAAAACTTTCCGCCAGAGTTTTCAGCCAGTGAATACTAAGAAGATTTGATGGCTTGATTTTTGAGCCTATAAAATTATTTCCAAAACTAAGGGTCGACACATGGAGGATAAATAAATGTGTTGAGCAGGTAAAGGCCTAATTCCGAATTTTAAGCTAAAAATCTTGAGGTTGACTTGTAGGCTAGGTAGACTTGTACGGCAGGTCGATTGTACGAGAGGTAGACTTGTACGCCAGGTTAACTTATACGCCAGATCTACTTGTCTACCAGGTCGATGTACGACAGGTAGACTTGTATGCCAGATTGACTTATACGCTAGATCGACTTGTATGCTAGGTCAATGTACGACAGTTTGACTTGTATGCCACATAAACTTATATGCCAGATAAACTTGTATGCCTCGTAGAATTGTACCCCAGGTCCGCTTGTATGCCAGGTCTGCTTGTATGCCAAAGCTGCTTGTACGCCAGGTCTGCTTGTATGCCAGAGCTGCTTGTACGCCAGGTCTACTTGTATGCCAGGTCTACTTGTATGCCAGATCTGCTTGAATGCCAGGTCTGCTTGTAGGCCAGGTCTGCTTGTATGCTAGGTCCACTTTTACGCCAGGTCTGCTTGTATGCTAGGTCCACTTTTACGCCAGGTCTGCTTGTATGCCAGGTCTGCTTGTAGGCCAGGTCTGCTTGTATGCCAGGTCTACTTATAGGCCAGGTGCGCTTGTACGCCAGGTCTGCTTGAATGCCAGGTCTGCTTGTACGCCAGGTTTGCGTCTTCACCAGATCGACTTGAATTGTGCAGTCCCCTTATATATTTACAGTTTTCAATAAGCAGAAATAAGTTGCAGGGAAGCCCTTGAATCAGCTTGATAAAAGAATTGATTATTATTGAATAGTTGCCATACTGTACTCATTTCCTCTGCATCTGTGAGTGGCTCCCCCCCCCCCCCCCCCTCCACTTGGCACCCCCAAATTAGGTCCTGGAACCTACAGAGGGAACAAGATGTTTTAAAAGGCAGCTGATTAGGCTTTTACTGAAGTAAGATGTGTTGGGTCAAAATGCACAGTTATCAGAGCCTAGCTGTAAACCACAACTCAGTGTGCCAACAGCACTTTAAAGAGTGAACACAGATGAAGAAGATACACTGAAATGTCAGTGAATGGAGAAGTACTTTAGTGAATATACCGTGAATAGATATCAAACCAAATGAGAATTAGAGCAAATCTCTCAGCTGAGGTCTCATAGAAATAAGCAAAGCATCCCCGTGTGGGTTCAGGGACCCCATTTTGGGGAGCAGGATTAAACCCACTGTACCCCTAACAGGCATGTCATACAAGGGGACTAATTAGGGGTGTTTCCTTTGAAGTTGGAGTGATCTGCCTGAGAGGCAAGGGGGGGGGGGGGGGGTGCTACCAGTCTGCAGACAAATAAGCCAGATCTGTTAAATAGATGTGTGTGCAAAACTCAAGTTCTGAAATAAGAACAAAATCTAAAATTAGATGAATAACTGTAACTTTCCAGTAAACTCTAAGGAAATCTTCCTTAAAGGAAGCCTGGAGAGAATGAGGCACCTGGGTGTAACCAGAGGGTCTGGCTGGCTCACTACACTCAGAGGAAAGGCAAGATGGACATATAAGCAGATTGTGACCGGCACCATCAGTGTTGGAACTCTGCGCTGGCTGCTAAGATGGGGACAGAGTGCACATGGGAATGCTCCAAGTTTTGTGATGTCAGTTGTTGACTCAACTCAACTCAACTCTAAGGAAAAAAGAAGATGATAATATCTGTAACATGTCTGGACAGCAGAAACAGTTTAACAGATTTATTACTACCGGTTTTCTTTTCTGCAGGGGGTCACAGAACTCAGGCTATCACGTGAATGGTAGTGCCGGCCACAACAACAGCAACATCGCTGGTGCTAGACAGAGCTACAACGACCGTGCGGGGGTATACATGCAGGTTGATAGAGCAGCCATGTGGCAGCAGCAGCAGCAGCAGTGTCCTCCTCAGCAGTTCCAACAGCAGCCAGTGAAGTGGGACAAGGGGCAGCCGTTGTTTGGTCAGCCCTTCGCTGGACAGAATCAGTATGGACAGGTAAATGAATGCTTGAATTTGACACCCCCACCCCCAAACAGCAGCCAGTGAAGTGGGACAAGGGGCAGCCATTGTTTGGACAGTCCTTCACTGGACAGAACCTTTATGGACAGGTAAATGAAAGCTTGAATTTGACACCCCCCATCCCCAAACAGCAGCCAGTGAAGTGGGACAAGGGGCAGCCATGGTTTGGTCAGCCCTTCGCTGGACAGAACCGGTATGGACAGGTGAACAAATGACAAGTCCAGGGTCTCCATTTTTTTTTGAGGGGGGGGGGGGGGGGGAAACCAACCCACTGCTTCTTAACAAGCATTCTGTAAAAGTTGATAGTTAGGGGTTTGCTGAGATCCTATGTATTGGGCTGAAAGGCACATGTACCACAGTCTAGCTGTAAATCACAGCACAATATGTCAGCTGCCTTTTTAAGGGTGAAATCAAAAGAGGAAGAATGTTTTCATTAAAAAAAATTTTTTTTTTTTTAAAGGGAACGAGTTTCTATATCTTGTAGGCTGTGAGGTGTTAGGAAAATTTCTCCTTCTTGAGCATCTACTTTTCCTCTCCCATAGAACATAGACTCTCATGTGACTCATGCCAAGCCATTTGGAGCCCTTTTGTTGATGAACTACACTTTGCAGTTAACCCTTTTGCCCCAGTAAGGACTGTTTTTCAGATTTGTTGTGCTTTTAATGACATGAAGTCTTTGGGCAGTGGCCACTACACCAGTATAACAGCTGTGATACAGGTTGCATATGCACAGAGTGTAGACTTGGTGGGGGCGCTAAATTAAAAAATAATTATTAATTTTAATTTATTTAGTTACTTTGGTGATGCTGCAGCTAACAGGCTTGCCTATCTGCTCAGTGGTCATAGGTTTCACCCACATAGAGTTTTATAAAAACTGACTTTACTTTTAGTAACGCACTGTTTCTTGAGCTAGTCCTTTTTTTATGACATAGGTGCATGGTAGAGGCAATGTTACCTTTCTTTAACATAGTAACGCACTATGTTACTTGAGCTAGTCTTTTCTTATGACATAGGTGCATGGTAGGTACAGTGTTACCTTTCTTTAACTTAGTAATGCACCTATTTCTTGAGCTAGTCCTTTCTTATGACATGCATGGTAGGTGCAGTTTTTTTTTTTTTTTGTGTGCCTTGTTCACCGGCTGTGAATTCCGGCGGTAAGTCGCGGTTGTTCGTCCAAAATGGACTTTTGGCTTTGACCTTGACCTGAGTTTTGCGTGTACATCCGTTTTACTGGCTTATTTGTTTGCAGTACTCGTTCCCCGCCTCTCCGGCAGATGTACTCCGACTTCGGAGGAAGACGTCAAGCCTATTTCTAGGTTGACTGTGGCCATTGTTTTGTGTGGGTCAAGATGGTGCCTCATTTGTGTGGTGTCCTCTTTGACTTTTAACAGGTGTGGCCCCCGGCATCTCGTCCTTGAGGCAGCTCTATGTAGAGTTTTCAGCACTCAAGGGAAGGCAGGGGCAGATCATGGGCATTCCCCGCCATCCAAGGAGGCTTCCATAAATGCAGAGCCGACACATGATTCTCTGGTTCTGGGCTCACCCAAGGAATCGTCACGTCCTGCCCATGACTGCTTAACCTCACAACCGTGTATTGAGCTTCCCGCGCTACAAGGCTGCGCTCTCCGGAGATCAGCGGGGAGCAGCCCGCAGGTCTAGGACGTTTGTGGCCACACAAATAGGTACATTCTTTTTCATCTTACGTTAGACACCTTTAACGTTGTTTCAGCTATGCCCTTAGCACGACAAAATTGGGAAGCAAAATGCGTCAGGCGTGGCTTCACCTGTTTGGTCCCAACACTCTGGCGAGTTGGACCAGTGGATACGGACATTTGGACTTTTCCCTAATCGGTACGAATTATGATCGTCGGACTCTGAGCTTGCATGTGTGCCGTGGGGTATAACTTTGTCGGACATTATTTCCAAACCAGCATATGGAAAGTTGCTGCCGTGGTGTACCTCAGCGCGGTGACGACGACACTGAGGATTGACAGAGGATGTACATAGGTAGGATCTTGCTGCGAGAAGTCGCCCACAAGAGATGTTACTCGTCTTGGCTGCGGGTAAATCTCTCGGTCAGGGTTGAGTCTCAGCAGCGAATTTTAACCAAGAGTTGTCATTTGATGGTACATTTAGCAAGCAATATTTGAGTTTTGTTAGACTTTTCACCCATGCGTTTGGGGGCGGGCTGGTGAGAGCCAGAAAGGACACTACACCTCTGGGGGCCGCCAGCTCCGAGATCCCCTGCCAACTCTGTTAATGCTCATTTGAGACATTATCCGTGGCGCACGACGGGGACGTGCAACAGGAGTCTTGCATGAGGTTCCGTAAAACCAGAACAGTGAAGGACTGGCGCCCGAGTGGGGTACGGAGTATCTCCTTATACACCTCACATCAGACTTAACTTTGCCTCATGCCTGTGACCGAAATCACCGCGCCACGGTAGGTGCAGTGTTACCTTTCTTTAACTTAGTAATGCACTCTGTTTCTTGAGCTAGTCCTTTCTTATGACATGCATGGTAGGTGCAATGTTACCTTTCTTTAACTTAGTAATGCACCTGTTTCTTGAGCTAGTCCTTTCTTATGACATGCATGGTAGGTGCAATGTTACCTTTCTTTAACTTAGTAATGCACCTGTTTCTTGAGCTAGTCCTTTCTTATGACATGCATGGTAGGTGCAATGTTACCTTTCTTTAACTTAGTAATGCACCTGTTTCTTGAGCTAGTCCTTTCTTATGACATGCATGGTAGGTGCAATGTTACCTTTCTTTGTTTAATTTACAAACGCACTCTGTTTCTTGAGCTCATCATGCTGCTGTGCTGGTACATTAAGGCGGTGATCACTAGAATCATGGATTAGGTCAGTGTTCTACATCACGAAGGTAACTGGTTTATATGTATTGCATCCAAATGCTTATGTTAATTAGTCATAAAGTATCTTTCTTGCAGGGCTATGGCAGAGGTGGAGGCAGTGCCCAGCCCAAGTTCGTGACCCCAAAAGTTCAAGGACCTGCAGCAGGATTATCCAACAGAGGTTATCAGGTTTGTCAGTTTGTTACTTGCTTTATCAGATTTGTCCGTTACTTTTTACTTGTTTCCTAACAACAGTGGTTTTGACTTGTTTCCTAACGACAATGTTTTTGACTTGTTTCCTATACGAGTAGTTGCGTATCCTTTACAGGACGTTGCAGAACCAACCCCAGCAGTCCCTGGCTGTTGTGTGGTTTTTCTAGGCAAATTTACGTCCAGTAATTTGCCATTGCTTTCTGGACGGTCGGCCTCCTGATACCACTGTTGAAACCAACGCAAGGCGCATGGCCCGCAGCTGGTATCGAACCTGGCACCCGAGCATTACAAAGCGTTCGCATTGACTTAGCCACAGAGCCGACTTTGTTTCCTATAGACAATGATTTTGACTTGTTTCCTAAAGACAATAGTTTTGACTTGTTTCCTAAAGACAATGGGTTTTACTTGTTTCTTAACGACAGTGGTTTTGACATGTTTCCTAAAAACAATGGTTTTGACTTTTTTCCGAAAGACAATGGTTTTTTGACTTGTTTCATAAAGGATATGGTTTTGACTTGTTTGAGGCTTGCATCCTGTAAGAGTTAATTTCATGTAAGTTTGTCCTGAAGAAAAGTCAACATTAGATTTTGATTTAACTGTTGCAAATGTCTATTCAGCAGAGGAACTTTCCCCAAGAAAACAGAGAAACTGAAAACTCAGAGTTCAACAATATGTGGAGGAATCTGTTGACACATCAGGTATGGTGTTCTTTTTTTTTTTTTTCTCTGAAATGTTTTATGATCCCTGTATGTTATGTTGCATTGTTCACTATCTTCTATGTTCTGTTGTTTGCTATCTTCCACGTTCCCTTGTTTTTTTGTGTTTCATGTTCCATTGTTCGCTGTCTTCTAAGTTCCATTGTTTGCTATCTTCCATGTTCCAATGTTTTCTGTGTTTCATGTTCCATTGTTTTTTATCTTCCATCTTCTATTGTTTTCTGTATTTCATATTTCATTGTCTTCTATCTTCCATGATCCATTGTTTTCTGTGTTTCATGTTCCATTTTTTTTTTTTAATCTTCCATCTTCCATTGTTTTCTGTATTTCATGTTCCGTAGTTTTTTTTTAAATCTTCCATTGTTTTCTGTATTTAATGTTATATCATCTAATGTCTTCCGTGTTCCATTGTTTTCTGTTTTTTTGTGTTTCATCATTTTGTATCATCCGTGTCCCATTGCTTTCTGTATTTCATGTTCCATTGTTCACTGTATTTTATGTTCCATTATTCAAGTTTTTTTGGGTTTAAAACTTAAAGAAGACATAAACAGCAGATTGCATAATTTATTGCTAGTATTTTGCGGTAGCTCGCCATGTGCATACTACAGTAACAACTGATTAAAAGAAGCAAGGCAGATAAATGAATCTTTTCAACTAAAATACAAAATCAGGTATATTTAAAAGTAACTGCCTGTTTTTGTCACGGCGAACACAGATTTACACAAGGTGTCCCATAAGTTTCCATACATAGGAGAAATAAACGTTGTTTATGAAAACCATTTAAAAAATGGTTTTTATATGCTCTTCATAAATAACTACCATTGTTTTAAAAACACTGCTGGAGAACACGTATAAGCGCAGCTGGAGTTAAACCCCCACTCCAGCTGTAGTCAGGGAGCCCTAATATAACCTAATGGTTGAACAGGGTTTCTGGGACTTGTGCCCAGGTGATCCTCTTCTGAATAGTGCCACTTTGTGTCAGCGGATGTTGGTCGCTTGTTGTACGGTTCTGGTGGGTTTGTTGAACATCAAACAAGCTGGAGTTATGCTTGTAATAGCATTGATGATTTGGTTATTTTTCTTATGTATGGAAACCTACGCAACACCCTTATATCTACTTCATTGATATTTTCTTCTACATTACCCACTGTTTCCAGAATTCAGGCCAAGCCTCCAGTGCACCAGAACCATCACCTAAGCAAACTCCGGGAACTCTGATTGTTGTGAACTCCCAGAGTACGAAGACAAATCAGAACTTAGCTCAGCATCAGTTCACATCAGTCATACCTCAGCCAAACCTTCAGCACCACTTACATTCATCTCAGCCAGCATCTTCACATCCTTCTGGTTCGATCCTGCCATCAGCTGGCCAGTATGGCCAAGGTCCTCTGGAGCCACAGCTGGGAGGGCTGATGCCGAAGCAACCAGGGCATGTTTCTTCTCAGTCTCAAGCGTCCAGTAGCCACCAGGCAGCTTCCAGAGAAGCCGAGGGGATGCAGTCTAGGGTGCAGAACCTGTTTCAGAGCACCTCCAACTCTTTGCCAGGAAGCGGAGAAAATGCTGAATTTTTGGCACTTTTCAATTCATTGCAGGTTTGTTATTTGCATGGTGTGTTGTTTATTGTATTTGTTTATCACAGACCAAACGCAACGTAGAACCAGCCAGCTTTACATTATCACATACACAAACAACAGGTGAACATTGGTAACCTTGCCTTCATTATACATCAGCACATTACATAAATATACAACTCCACAAATACAAGAAAACACAATATTACTTAACTAAAGTGTCTCCAAGAGAATTCCAGACGTTTGGCCTGTAGAATTGCTGAAACTAGTAAATACTATCTAGTGTGTTATTTATCAGCAATTGTGGGTTTGGTGTTGTGGACCTGGTTACATAATTCAGATATACCAGAATTCAAGGTCAAAAGAAGGTTCTTTGGCAGCAGACTGCTTTGTGTTGATATTGACCAGCAACGGTTCAGCAGACGATGGCAAATTACTGAGTGTAAAAAAATTTAATAATAAAGCCACAAACAGACAACAGATTCAGGGGTTGGACATCTTTCAACTGATGTTTAGTTTTCAGTATCTCAACTAATGTTTTTTTTTTTCCTGTTGCAACTATTTTTCTGTGTAATAACCCCTCAAACCCCTCCCCCCACCCAAGGGGCAGTTTACATCTTGTGTTGGGGTTTACAGTTAGGCTGCAATATCTTCACCTATTGGGCCGACAGATTTGATCTCAGCAAACTCCTAAATTATGATAGCTGCCTCTTCTGACCTGTCTTTTTACGGGGCAGATGGTCTATGAGACCCAGATTTGAATCCTCGGTAAGGTTGTGGATTTTATTATGGAGGGGGGTTTAAAAATAAAATCTTAGCTTGCAAAGTCCAGGGCAACAGCACTAGCTCTAAGGGCCCCTCCTGCTCGGGAGAAAATAGCAACAATTGTATATTAAGGGGGTAATGGCATTTGTTGAAAATGAGTGAGCGAGATATGAGTGAGAGGGTAAGCGAGGAGAGAGAGCGAGAGTATGTGCATATGCATGCTTGAGAGAGTTGTTGTTGACTGAGAATTAGAGAGAGAGAGAGAGAGAGAGAGAGATAATGAATGAGGGCATGCATTTACAGCTATAGTGTTCCCTGTATATTCCCAGTTCCAGCAGAGTGAAGAAGTTGGACGCGGATCAGGAGGAGGTGGAGCCTTGAACAAAACTGCTCAGTCGTTAACCTCAGCTGCTTCACCAACGTCAGACACCAAATCTCAGGTCAGTAACTGTTTCTTGTGTATTCTAGGGCTTCTCTGTAACCCAGTGCCACCTGAGTGTTTTATTCCCCGAGGTTACAGAATCTGAACCTGGATGGCAACCCAACATGGTAAATCCCATGTACCCCTGTAGCCTCTAAAGAGGTTATAATTGGGTCGCCTGAAATGGCTACGCCAGCCAGGTGTAACTGCAGTTCTGTGCGGGTAAGAAATTACAGTATTTCATTTTTAGGCCACTTTATAAAATGTGGCCATCTTGTATTATTCAGCCACCTTTTATAATTCTGCCAATTTGAATAACTGCCATTTTTTGCACCTGGCCACCTTACATAATTCGACCATTTTATATGACTAGGCCATTTTGTATAACTTATTCCTTCTTCTTTTTTTTGGCTCTACTCCTGGAATGCCTTTTGGCATCACGACAGGAAGAGATCTCTGGGTGGGCCCTTCTGTCAGCTTCGTTTATAATACTTTTCAGAGCCTCTTATATTTCTGCGGTCCATCTTCTGCGTGGTATTGATCTGTGTGGTGCCCTGTCTGTTACCAGTCTTGTTACATGGCCAGAACATTTGATCTATTGTCAACCAGTAAAGCTCAATACTGGTTCTGTGCCAGCTCTCCTCCTGACATCATCACTCCTAAGTTGATCCTTATAATTGATTCCACCACCATAACTTATTTCCCCTTGTATAATATGGCCACCTATTCCTTCCTTCCATGTTTATCCCGGGAGGGGGGGGGGGGGGGGTGCTCCCTAAAGGTTTTACCATGCTGAGATTACAAATCCCACCTTGGATGACAAGCCAATAGGGCAGATCCCACATACCCCATTCAACCTCAGAAAAAAGTTATATTTGGGGCACCTGTAACATCTGACGAATGCTAGGAATAAAGCCAGTCTTACAGGTCATCAAAGAACAACAAATGAAGTGGTTTTGACACCTAACAAGAATGCCCTGGTACTATCTGCCACACCACAGCGAGCCACACTAAAACGTTACAATGGGTCTAGAGCGAGCAGAAGACCTCGGAAAAGATGGAATGATGGCATTAAGAACAGCCTTACAGAAATGAACATCAGTCTTAATAGTGCTCTTGACAGAGCTCAGCAACGAATGTTACATCTCCCCCAGACACTTTGCTGAGCTACAAGGTAGAAGAGAAGAAGAATAAGTAACATCTGTACATGTGCATCAGGCATATGATGCTAGGATTTTATAGACCAGTTGTCCCTCGATAGGTGATGTGGTCAACATACGCTAGACACCTTTACTTCCCAGGACTTCTCTGGTACCCATTTTATGCTGTGTTGATCTGGAAGAAATGGTCATTTTTACAACAACTGTGGGTTGACAAGCAGAACATCTAGCCACTACACCACCGCGTCTCTCAGTCTCCTGCAGGTAAAAGAAAAAGAAAATTTATATCGCATAAAAGCACAAATATCACATAAAAAAACAAATAAAGTTTATAGGAATCAGAAACAAGTCAGTATCACATAAAAGCAGAAACAAGTGAAAATTAAAAAAAAAGCAAGAACAAGGGGGGAAAAAGTAAAGGACCCTTTTCCACGCCTTTAGGCGTATAGGGCATATAAGGCTAGAACTATATTTTATAGACCAATCGGCACAAGATGGGTGATGTAGTCAGTATCACACCAGCCGCCTGTACTTCCCGTGATTGCACCCGGTACCCACTCAAAGCTGGGTCATCCTGGGATCATTTGTGAAAAAAGTCTGGCTCCGCCAGGCGAGCATCTAGCTGCTCCACCACAGCGACTCCCAAGAACAAGTGAACACCACATTAAAGCAAAAGCAAATAGACATCACATAAAAGCAAAACTAGTAAACATCACCCCAAAAAAACGTTCATTTAAAGATCATCTTCATCACACATCTGACATGACCGTAAGTGCTCTGATTTCCTCCTGAGTCTGTCTTGAAGTGTTTTTAGGCTAACAACCTCCATTTTGCTCTGGTTGATGTAACGACAGATGGTTCCCGCATGGTTTTCTTCTCTTGCTTCTCCAGTCAGTACAGTCAGGGTATGCAGTCTTTTCAGTGAAAAATCATCACAGCGTTTAGTCTCCTGTATGGTAAAAACAAAAACAATTAAACTAAGCTGTCAGCTCTCAACAGATACCCTAAGGCATATCTGTTCTTCACCTCTGACAGCAGAGGTCTAGTTTAACAGGCCTTCTCATTGTGGACCTGTTTAGAGAAGTGGCAACGGCAAGTATCTGACGCTGTAAAACCAGACTGCTGCTCGAGCATGATCATAGTCTACCGAAGCAACACAAGGACCAGAGTAATCAGGATGCCAAGCACACACACCACGGAAGTATGTCTACATCAGCAAAATAATATGGTGCTGGCCTTGTGATGGACTCTCAGGCAGGAGCAGTGCTGGGCCCTCCTCCGCCCTGAAGAGGCCCAACCCAAAATACTGAAGGTCCTTCAGTTTAACATTATCATCATTATTATCATCCTTTGTGTGCCATTAGATGTCATATAGGGTTGGCATTTGATTCCTACACTCTGCTCTGTTGCATGCAAATTTCTGGATTTCTGACATTGAGCAGCCCAGCAATTGTTTTTGTGTGTCTTGTCTTGTCTTGTCTTGTCTTGTCCACAATTGCCACACAGCGTAGTGGGGAGTCGCAGTTTTCTATCCTGGGCCAGGTGTGTTGCACGTGTTGTTGTTAGTCCGTGTTGCCTCAGGATCTCTGATATATTGTCTATCCATCGTACTCTCGGTCTGCCTCTTGCTCTAGGGCAGTAGTGCTGTTCGTTGTATGCTCGTAGAGGTAGTTGGTCGGTGTGCATTCGCATCAAGTGGCCAAACCACTCTATTTGTTGCTTCTTTATGTATTGCAGGCATGGCGTGGTTCCTACAATTGATCTAATGTTCTCGTTTCGAACTCTGTCTCTCCTTGTGACATTGGCAGCCTTACGTAAGCATCTCATTTCGCATGTCGTGATCTTTTTCTCCTGTGCTCTTGTTAGGGACCAGGTTTGGCATTAGTAGCAGAGGGTTCGTATAAACATGCAATTTATCAGTTGTCGTTTTAGTGCCATAGTAATGCTTGGGTGTTTTAGAAGTGGGGAGAGTTGGTAAGTTACTGCGTTCGCTTTTTGACATCTTGCCTCAAGTTCCCTATCAATTCTTGTGTGCCTCTTGTAATAATGTTCTTCTTAGCGTTTTCTATGAACGTCCTCTTTTTCTCATACCGTAAGTTTCTCATTTCAGTGTCTGTTTTGTAATTCTTTGCTCATTTCCCATCTGGTTAATTTCAAGTTAAATTTTGAATTTCCTTGTGTGCAAAAAAGGGTGCCTCCAGTTACTAGGTTTGACTGCAAGCATAACCCTGCTAATCTGTTTCCATTTTCATTCATTTTGTTGACTCCTTCCTTTCCCATAACTCTGTCTACACCCACATTGTCTTTGTCTACTTTAGCATTAAAATCTCCCATTACTAATAATAGATCATGTTTTGGAATCTTGTCGGTTTCCTCCCACATTTGTTTATAAAGGAGGTCTTTCTTGTCTTCTTCTTCTTCTTCTTCATTCTTCTTTGCGTTCGGTTTCATATGCTCAGATCAGGCCATCAGGTGGGTTGCCTCTATGAACTCGCATGTCAGCTGCAGGTCCCAAATGGTTCCCCATAGCTTGCTCTTCACACTTTGCTATTTTCTTTTCGAAGTTGTCTGTAGAGTGGGCAGGTCTGCAGAATGTGCTCAGGTGTTTGTGGTCCTGTTTGATAGGCACACTGTGGCGACTGTACAATCTTTATTTTATGCATGTGGTAGTTGAGCCTGCAACAATTGTTGTATGTTGCTTTCTATTGAGTCTGCTGATGGGGTCTTGTGGATGTTTCTTGTCTGCCTCAGCATCATTGGGTGGTGCATAGCAATGCAGTATTGTCATTTTGAAATGTGTGGTATTGAACCAGGCTCTGATTATCCAGCTTGAAATTGGTTCCCACTCCAACATACACTTTGCAACTCTAGGTGACATCATATGTTTCCCATCTTACTCTACCTGAATAAATTAATGTTGAACCACTGAGCATCCTCTTATCTGTTCCAGGCCATCTCACTTCACTCACCCCTAATATATCTAGATTGTATCCTTTTATTTCTTTTGCTACCTGTGCTGATTTTGTTGTTGCTGCCAAAAACCAATTTTAGTGCTTGTTTTAGAACCAACCAGTGCACGAATCATGTTACTGACTTTCACAAAGCGGCTTATATCAGTAACTAGTAACTGTCATTGATGCATTAATTGCACAGCACACTGCTTGGTAGTTCTCTTGACCGGAATGGCGTCCTGTTTTGCGAGTTTCTGTAGCTATAAAAAAATATCTTATAGTAAGATAGCTGACCTCACGCACAAGCCCTCCTCCTTTTTCATCCGGGCTTGTATAGTTTATACTAGAGACAAAGTTGCTGATTTAGACAATATTTCAAGCGAACAAAAGAATAAAGCAGAAAGCAAAAAGAAGTAAACATCACATACAAACAAAAACAAGTAAATATTACAAAAGGATAAAGAAGTAAACATCACCTGAAAGCTAAAAACTTAAATGTCACAAAAGTAAAAAGAAGTAAACATCACATAAAAGCAAAAACAAGTAATTATCACAATAGGCAAAAGAAATAAACATCTTTAAAAAGCAAAAACAAGTAAATATCACAAAAAGAAAAAGAAGTAAACATCTTTAAAAAGCAAAAACAAGTAAATATCACAAAAAGAAAAAGAAGTAAACATCACATTAAAGCAAAAACAAGTAAATATCACAAAAGTAAAAAGAAAGAAACATCAACTGAAAGCAAAAAGACAGATTTCAAATGATAACAGCTCTTTTTGTTTCTGATTCAGGCTGATTTAGCTCTAAAACAGCTGTTGAAGATTGGAGTGGAGCCTTCTACTATAGCCAGTCTTTCATCTGCTTCACCAACGGCCACGTCTGCTGCAATGACACATCTCATGGGGGCAGTCCAGGTTTCACACATTGAAGAAACCCGAGATCATTCTGATGCTCCGGTGCCTACGTATGGACGACACCTATCCCTGCAAGAGCTGTTTGAGGAAGGTAAATGATTAAAATCCTTGTCGTTGGAAGCTTGATCCCCGTGTGGGTCCTGAGCCACATGTAGAGAAAAACCATAATTGACCCTGCTTGCTAACAAGCATGTCATAACAGGTGACTAATTAGGAGTCTGCTAAAGTCGAACATGGTGGGCAAGAAGTGCAGATGTCAAAGCTTAGCTTCTTCCTGTGTGGGTTCTGGGGTCCCAGTTGAGTTGAGTCAAGAATTGACATCACAGCTCTTGGGGCATTCACATGCATGCTCCATCCTCATCTTTAGCAGCCAGCGCAGAGTTCTAGTACTCATGGTACCGGTCACATTCTGGTTATATGTCCATCTTGCCTTCGCTCTGAGTGTAGTGAGCTGGCCAGACCCTCTGTTTCCGGGGCCCCTTTGTGGGGAAAACAAGAACAGACCCAATGTCTACCCCAACAAGCATGTTGTATGAGTTGACTAACTAGATGCTTCTTTTGAAGTCAGAGTGCATCTGCCTCATAGGCAAGGAGCCAACTATCTGCATACACATAAATCAGATCTGTAAAACAAATGCTCACACAACACTCAGGTTCTGTAACAGGACTACAGTACAGGACTACAGCCCAGAAGTGGACGAACAACCAGAACTTTCTGCTGGAGTTTACAGCCAGTGAATGCAAAGAAAAGAAAGAAAGCCCAGCTGCATCACAGTGAGCCAAGAAGAAGAAGGAAATCAGAAACAGAAGTCTGAATACTTTCCATCCTAGGGACTGGTTGTTTAGTTCCTGAAAGGTTACTTTTCTCGCACACAAATATCTTCATATAGTGCCAGTCTCCTCCTGTAGATCATCCAAGAAGTATTCAGTTTCGGCAGTGGCCTTTTTAGACACTTTTTTTTTTAAGAAGAATTTCCAACTGCTTAAGAGATTTTTTTTCACTTGTGAAAACACCAGGAAAGCCTAACCCAGTCAGCAAATGCTGGGGAACAAATTGCATGTGCTGGCCGGAAGTTGTATTTATCACATTTGTGCTGTCGACAGACAGTAATTCTTCTTTTTCTCAGCATTCCATGGCTGTAAACTCCAGCAGATATTTCTGGTTGTTCATCCACTTCTGGACCTGAGTTGTGTTTCAGGGCTTTGACAGGCCTAATGTAGGGGAAGACACAGTATAAATACCAACCAATGATTTCTTTTTTTAAGCAGAATCTGGCAAAAGCAAAAGAAAAATGGAATATGAGGAAGAAAAACACTGTTAAATTTATAAATAATTAGCAAGGACATCTCTCCTGTTGACAGCAGATGGATTAAAGAGACATCGACGACTTAAGAAAGCCAGGAGAGCAACTCTCTCTCTCTCTCTCTCTCTTGTTGTACCTTACCGGGACATCACACAATCAATAAACACCCATTGACACTAAGTGCCAGCATGCGGATGTGAAATACCCGTGGAGAGGTCCCAGAAACCCCTTTCAGCCGCTAGGCCAAATTTATGGCCCGGCTATACTCAGGGCCCCTGCCAAAAGCCAGGGTGGGGCTTCAATAGCGAAAAATTGCATCCCACATGGGGAAAACTTTGTATACAAGAGAGCGACTGTAGAGGATAATAAATATATGTAAAACGACATGAGATACTTGTGAATGCCTTATTTGTTGACAGCAGCTTGAAAAGGATATAGTCAGAATAAATAGTTGTGAAAAAATGGTTTTCCAAGGATATTAGAACTAGTATTCTCAGATTTTCTTGTGAAAAATTATTGTAAATACTATTATGTGCATTTAAGAAGGTTTAAACAAAATGGGCATGGTAAAGATAGTTTTTAAAAAAAAGTGTAAAAGTATAAATGAAAGACAACACTTTTGAAGTTGATGTAATTATAGATAATATGTTTCATTGATTTTGCAGCAAACAAACATCAACAGAATCAGGGAGTCAAGATCCAACAGATGCAGCAGCAACAGCAGCAGCAGTCGACACTTTCTGCCGCTGCCAGGTCTAGCGAGAACAGGTAGGCCAAATGAACGAATTATAGTGTTACACAAAATCAGAGATACAGGTATTCAAGTCATCAAAAGAAAGTCATAACTGGCAATACTTTCTGCACCCTGTTTGCTTCCAGTTTTATGAAAGTAAAGAAGACCAGCGTCTGCAAGAACCAACTGGTCTAAATAAAATATAGGCCAGAACTTTTGACTTTGTGCACCTAGTAAAAAACATGTTTGGTAATTACTTTTGGAGCAACATCTTCTGACTTTCATCACCAAAAGGAGCATACTCCTTCACACAAGCCAAGCCCCCAGCTAGACTTGTTCATGATTGACCAGATTTTTGCAACCAAAGTATTAACCTTTCACCCTGCCAACAACCCCCCCCCCCCCCTCCCCCCAAGACCTTAACAGAAACAATAACGTATTTATCTAAATTTTTTCTCCTGGAAATATTTAAAGATATAATATATATACAGGCAGTAGTCAGTAAACATGATTAGAGGGAAGCATTAAATGGAATTCCTTCCCTAGGTCCTTCAAAAATATACAGAGTACCATCTCCACTGGGATTGTGTTGCAGAGTTCTTATTCACCTTTCCAAGCTTTGCGTGCACAGCACTGGCACTAAATGTTTTCAGCTGATTAGCTATGAAAAGTCGTTAATTATCTTTGGAGGATTGGCCATAATGGTGACTCAACTCTGTGTATAGGCTGCATCATAGTGGTCATTGAAGGACCTGACCAGTGGGAGGCTTGTTCCTGGTCTGTAGTCTGATTGAATTAGTTGCACTGTGGAGAAGGACAGTCAGTTTGGATAAACTTAGTGCAATGAAGTCGACCTTTTCGATTTTGAATGTGATCACTTGACTTACCAGATGGCATAGACGTTCAGGTCTCATCATAGATCTTGATCCTTGGTAGTTGTAAAGTTGCAGCTGCAGGGGCTACCCCTAAGAGTCAGAGGAAACCCATGTTATATAAATAATGGCAGGTCTTAGATGCTGATTGATTGAGATGGAAAAACCTGACACAAAAAATAGACAGGGTTCGTAGCAGACCGGGAAATCTTGAATTAACCGTAAAATTGAGACCCCGACAAGAAACCTTAATTTTGACCTTTAAAAAGACATTCTGACCTTAAGAAGCCTTGAATTTTGACCGCCGCGATGAGATCGTCAAGTCCTGCAATTTTCGGCATTTAGGCTTTTTTTTTGTTTTGGCCATTTGGCTAGTTTTGGCTACTTTCTTTTAAGGTCGTTTCAGGTATGAGGGCAGTTGATTATCGGCTATTTTCAGCTGAAATGGTTTGTTAAAAGCCAGGGAAGGGCGGGCTGTGTTACAGCCCATGGATACAGGCAGACAGCAGCAGCATAGCATGGCGCAGGAAGGGGCAGCCGCCTTCTTGTGTGCTTTTGTTTCTAGTGGGGCTGGCAGTATTAGTAGTTTAAATAGCTTTATTGCCGTGGTTTCTAGAAACAATGATTACATTGGGAGATGGTGGGGCTAAGCAAAGTGACGTCAGCTAGATTTTCCAGTTCTATTTTTGGCCCGACAGTGTGTTTGACGATCAGTAATTTCCCCATAGTTTCCCTCTTCTGTTTTCTCACCCGTCCCTCCCCCTTCGCTCCCTCCTTCCCGTCTCCTGCATTGTCTCTCTCTCTCTCTCTCCCCCTCTCCTCTAATCTTTATCTTCTTCTTTTTCTCTCTCATTTCCTGTCCCCCCCTCCCCCTTTCTAATTTTATTTCTTGTTTAAATGTTTAGTATCCATAACTCTTTTCCTAGTAACTGTCAAGTACACAGGAAGTTGTATTATGGTGGGAAAAGGGGGGGGGGTGTTTCAGCATGAACCTGGTGGCTATTTACGTTTGATGTCAGTTTTGTCTTTTGATGTAGCAGGTCTTAATCTCTGTCCATCTCCCTACCTGCTCCTCACATTTTGTCCTACCTGTTCCTCACTCTCTGCCTGTCACTGCCTTCTTCTCTCTTTGTATTTGCCGCTCTCTCCCACTCCTTCTCTCCATCTCATCTCTCTTTCTTCATAACTTCAATTGGTGTTGAAGGTTATGTGTTGCCCAGTGCAGAACATATAATGTCCACCCCCCCCCCCCCCCCCCATACGCAAATTAAATATATGTGTACTTTTAAAAACACATTTGCCACCCCCTCCCCTCCCCCCACAGTGATGACACATGGAAGGGGGGGGGGAGGGTACCCCTTCCTGCTACCTTCTTCCCTCTATATCTCATCTTATTTCTTTCTCCCTTCTTTCTCTCCTTGTCTCAGTCCCCACTTTCTTTTTTAATCTTTATTATTTCTCTCTCTCTCTCTCTCTCTCTCTCTCTCTCTCTCTCTCTCTCTCTCTCTCTCTCTCTCTCTCTCTCTCTCTCTCTCTCTCTCTTTCTCTCTCTCTCTTTCTCTCTCACTGTTCTCACCTGTGTCTCACCCTTACCATCTCAGCCTTCCACACCACCTTCCACCACCTCCTCTCCCCTCTCCTTTCTGTCATTAGAAAATCAGAAATAAATCATCATGTTTCCATCCCTCCCTCTCATTGTCACCTTTTTCCTCCGTCCCCAGTCTTCTTTCCTCTACCTTCATCTGTCCATCTTTACACTATCTCTCCCAGTCTACCTTAGCATATATCTTCCTCCCTCTCTGTATGATTCCCTCCCCCCCCACCCCTCCCCTTTCAGGTACCAGGTCCAAAACAGGCAGGGCTTATGTTTGTTCCCCCTACCACCAAGTCTACACACACACACAAACACAACATTTTAAAACACTATATCAAGCGCCACGATGGATTGGACAAAATAATTGCAGAATGCATGGTACCAGGAAGGAGGGGTAGGGGCCAACCAACACGAAGATGGGCACAGGATATGACTCCTTGAGTATAAAAGTTCATGAGGTAGGAGAGCAGGCGAGAGACCAAGTTTCTTTCAGGCAGACTGTGATAAGAGTGATGTTCTGCAAAGGACCTGCTACATGATGATGATATCTGCGCTGGTATACCCACACGTGTGACACAAATGAAGTACCTTGTGTGCTCGGTACACCCTTGAACAAGGCAACAAATCAGTATTACACCGAGACAACCTTGAAAAAAACTAAGGAGACCTTGAAAAGGACACTGAAAGCCTTGAAATTGATGATTAGTGAATTTGGCTATGAACCCTGAGTAGAGCGACTGTGTGGAGGCCAAAAACAATCCACGGGTTCATAGTGGATCCTAGCGATTGATAGCTACATGAGAATTGAGTGAGAGGGTAAATAATGTTTGTTTGAACACCTTGTGTGTATGTTTGTTGGATATATAGTTGAAGAGACAGAGACTGAGGTGTTCTTTGGTGAATAAAGCCTCAAAGGACATGATGCACTTAGTTGTAACGGAACCAGCTAGAGGTCAACCACGCAAGCAATGGATAGGTGGAATATTTGAGGCTGTAAATACCAGCATCTGCTTAGCACCTACCAAGGCATGTACAGGATGCCTCTTTAAAACCTGATGCTGAAAGGCAAAACAGGACCAGAGAAGAAGAGGAAGAAGAAGTGGCATGATTGGGATTTGCGTGTATGTGTGTGTTGAGAACTAGACTGCAGTGAATGAGAGCAGTGAAGAATGATGGGATGGCAGTTGTGTGTGTCCCCCAAGTAGATGTACAAGGACTCGTGTGAAAAGGACAAGTTTGTTGTGTGTTTGCAGTGAACCAGATTCAGACAGTGAGTAAGTCATGTTTGTCAGAGTGTGTATTTATGAGAACACTTTCATATGCCATTTGGGACTAGAGGCAGGCGGACTGGCTGACTAATTGCATCAAGATTCACTACCACAGTGAAAGTGGAGTCCTGTGTTGTAAGACAGCAAGTTATGTTCGTCCATCCTTTGTGTCTCTGAGGACATTGCGAGTCCTGGTATATTGTGCTGGCCCATCACCCACAGTTCACAGTGACCTAGAAGGTCAAGGAAAGAGTAGAGGTCGACTCAATGTACAGTTTTCTGGATCACTTTTGTTCATAATATTCCTAATTGCTACCTGTACAACTTCTTCTTCTTCTTCTTCTTCTTCTTCTTCTTCTTCTTCTTCTTCTTCTTCTTCTTCTTCTTCTTCTTCTTCTTCTTCTTCTTCTTCTTCTTCTTCTTCTTCTTCTTCTTCTTCTTCTTCTTCTTCTTCTCCTTCTTCTTCTCCTTCTTCTCCTCCTCCTCCACCTCCTCCTCCACCTCCTCCTCCTTCTCCTCCTCCTCCTTCTTCTCCTCCTCCTTCTCCTCTTCTTCTTCTTCTTCTTCTGCTTCTCCTCCTCCTCCTCCTCTTCTTCTTCTTCTTCTTCTGCTTCTCCTCCTCCTCCTCTTCTCTTCTTCTTCTTCTTCTTCTTCTTCTTCTTCTTCTTCTTCTTCTTCTTCTTCTTCTTCTTCTTCTTCTTCTTCTTCTTCTTCTTCTTCTTCTTCTTCTTCTTCTTCTGCCCTTTATCCCATAATAGAGCAAACACCCTCAGCCAACTCATGCCACGTCGTCCTATATTTTTCTGCAGTCACATGTAACTCACCCTATGTCTGTCCTCCTTATGTTTTTAATTTCACCCTCTAGTTCTTTTGAAGTGCATCTTTTTCTGGCTTTATTACCATCTTAGATGTTCCAACTTAATGTCTCTCTTTCTGCCTCTGCCTCCTCTGTCTTTGTTATTTACATTTGTTATCAAAGCCTCTCTGCTCATACTGATAAAGTATTACTTATATGATATGGGCCGGTACATGTATTACTCATTTGGGCCTGGTCCAGGTGTCACCTATATGGTCTTGGTACAGGTATCACTCATATTGGCCTCGTGCTGGTATCACTCATATGGGCCTGGTATAGGTATCACTCATATGGGCCAATCATTTACTGATTGTTTATGTTTGCAATCTTTGTAGAGACACAATGATGGAGTTGGAGGCCTACTGCAAGAACACTCTGAACATTGGCCCCCCGCAATACGATTACAAGCCCCAGCCGAAGCAGGTGGGTAGATGCCAGACACTTTACATATTACACTTTCATCATAGAATAGGCTCATTTCATGGCATAGGCAAATGTAGGTCCATTCTTTGAAATGTCTTTGTTTGCTTATCTCTAATACTAATCAAAATAGTGCCTTAAAAATGAATCTAACTTTAAATCTAACCCTAACTTTAGAGCTGCTTAAATTATAAACATACATTCTAATCCTAATTCAAGTGCTCACATACCTTACATCTAACCCTAACTCAAGTGCTACTTAAAATCCTAACCTTAAGTTTTAACCTTTTTTGTCCTGAGAAACCATAGAACGGACACTTCCAATTGTGTCCAAGTCCCTGTAAATGTCACTTTTCTAACTTGTCTTTGGTTACCTGTTTACGAGACATATAGTTAACGCTGTTGACTATTTTCACACCTATTCAAATGTTTAGAAGCTCAAGATATGAATACATTAAATACAAATAGGTGAAGGGGGGTGGGAATTTTTCTTTGAGTCAAATAGCTTTCTTGAATCCAGGTTGACGTCAAATTTTCCCTGTAAGCCTTAGGTCACAGGGTCATGACACGAGTCACCTGATACGTAATTTTGTTGTTGTTTAGGCACTGGGGAAGGGATCCCATGTTACCCTTTACCCAGTTTGTGTTAATTCATTACTCCCTTCATATATCTGGTGCTGCACACACAAAAAAGTTTACAATTTTAAAATGTAGTTAAATACATTTCAAAAAAATTTGTATTAGTGACCTGTTTAAAAAAAAAAATTTCAAGTATTTTTTTCTTCTGAAATGCTAATGGAATCATGACCCAATTTTTAAGTGTTCCCAGGGCAAGATGTTCTAGCCTAACCCAGTTTCTACTTTAATTAAAGGACCCTTTTCCACGCCTTCAGCGGATTAGGCATATAGGGCTAGACCTAGATTTAATAGACCATTTGACACTTGGTGGGTGACGTTGTCAGCATCACACCAGCCAGCTTTACTTCCCAGGACTCTTCCTGGTACCCACTCAAGACTGAGTCCACCTGGGAGCCAAGGTCATTAATTTTTTTAAAGTCCTTCTCCATCAGGATCTGAACCCACAACCTTCAGATCCACAGGCGAGTGTCTTGTCCCTACACCATGGCGACTCCCTCTTCTTTAATTACAGACCTTAAATCCAACCCTAACCCATGAGCTATCTTCATTGCAGTCTTTATCCCTTTGACCACAAGAAGCAGAAATTGCGACTTTGCTCACTCTTATGAGCTGAGTCAAGAATTGACATCACAGCACTCGGGGCATTCCCATGCATGCTCCGTCCTCATCTTCAGCAGCCAGTACAGAGTTCCAATACTGATGGTACCCGTCACAATCTGGTTATATGTCCGTCTTGCCTTTCCTCTGAGTGTAGTGAGCCGACCAGACCCTCTGTTTACACCTAGGGGCCTCATTCTCTCCGGGCCATAATTATCTTCTTTACTGATTTCGCTGCTTGTTCCCAAAGGGCCTTGACCACTTCTGCCTTGTCATGTATCAATTCACCACGCTCACTCTTATGAATCCCCACCTGGCATATATTGTGCCTTTGGCCAGTCCTGGAGCAAATTAACAAAAAGTGTTAGGGAGAACAGAAAGCTCATGATTAAAACAAAAACTCTTGTCTATCAGGATTGTGTTCTCAGGCATTTTTCTATATGGCAGTGAAACTTGGTCAATTTTTTCATACCAGGAGAAATGGCTAAAAAGCTTTTTTGTGCGATTACTAAGAAAATACTTGGCATTAAGTGGCAGATCAAGATCACAAACACTGGGGGATTGGAAAGAGCAGGTATGACAAGTTTTCTCGTTGCTCAGTATGGAGGCTCAGATGGCTGGATCACACCTGGAGAATGGAGGATGGCAGAGTCCCTAAGGATATCCTGTATGGTGAATTGAAGATGGGTAGAAGATGTCAAGGCCTACCTTGACTAAGATATAAAGATCTGTGCAAGTGGGACACGAATGATACAGGTATTGAGGTGGACTTTGAACAGCATGCCATGGACTGTGTTGTGTGGAAGGGGCACATCAGGATGGGAATGAGAATCAATGAAGGAAATTGCAGAAAGGATGAGAGCCGAGTGTCTGAGAAAAAACACACACTCTAAAAACAAATGTTGACAACAATGGTCCTGAAATCCCATGCTATAATTGTGGAAGGTTTTTGTTAACACGTACGGGTCTTGCTAGTACCACATCATCGCCATGGACTGTGAGTCCCGTGCCTCCTATGATTGTAAATTGGGTTCTTTTTTTAAAATAGTCATTATGGCTTCATAATTCACCATTTAGCCTTCCTTGGTGCATAGTGACGGGATCACTGTATAATGTTTTTAGGCCTAAGCGAATATCTATCCAGACAGTTATTAAGCAACAACATTTCTATGATAAAAGATGTTAAAGAAACATACCTGGAGCTGAAAGAGAGAGTTAAATTAGACCATAGGCTACCACCTTCTGAGGTGTAGAAGGGGAAAGATGGAATAAATATGTTAAGTGTTCATCGGTTTGCATCTCAGACCTTAGAGCTAGTTACCTTGAAATTCCACTGTAGACAAAGAATGACCTTGACATGTCACAGTTGACACAGAACGACCTTGACATGTCACAGTTGACACAGAAGGACCTTGACATTTCACAGTTGACACTGAATGACCCTGGCACATTACACTGACACTCCCAACTGTTTTCCATTAGAATGCCTACATTGCCAATGTCCTTCTACCAAATGGGCAGAGATATGAGGGGTCCCAGTGCAGGACCAAAGAAGAAGCCGCAAAGAGTGCTGCTGGCATGGCCATCCTGTGTTTGGTAAGTTCTGGGTGTTAGGGACAGGAGATTTCTCATTTGTGGTGCTGACTGCAAGCCATTTTGTGTTTTCATGTGCCCACTGCACCACTTAGTTAGTTAGTTAGTCTTTCCTCTTGTGTCGAGTGCGGCACATAGGGCAGAGGTCGTGACTCTCCATGCACGGCGGTCCGTTGCAATCCGTTGTAGGTCTTGGATGTTTGAGTGGCCCATGAGCGAGCCTTCCCTGATGATAGTTCTACGTAGGGTTTCCCTTGGTCTTCCACGAGATCTTTTCTGAGCTGTTTTCCCCGTTTGGTACATGGTTCTAACATTCCAGTAACCAATTTTAAAGATGTCCTTGGAATTTAACAGATTAGAACGAATCATCATGCAGTTAGAGTCAGAAATCTGATTCTATAACAATTTGTGGTTTTGCGATGACAGCTTGTCGGACCGTCGATCAACCGATATGCGCCGAGCTAGAGAGAAACACGTCCCGCCATCTTGACACAAACCGGAAACCAAATCTGCACCACTGGTTAACTTATCGGCCACATGAGGTTTGATTCTCAGTGTGTTAGATCTGGAGGTGACAGATTCGATTCCTGGTTTAGTGATTGTCCAGTTTGTCCTCCAACTTCTACAATTATCTTCTGCGTCAACTGGTACCAGTCAGTAGATTACAACTTGTTTATCACACAGACCTAAGATTAAGACACCCAGTGGGATGCAGAGTTGCTGAACCACATCTGGTGTCGCACCAGGACCAGGGATTATACTGCTCACGACCTATCTACAACTCTCCAAGGTCATCCTAGAAACAGGTTCTCAGCCAACGATCTGGCTAACGTAGATAGTGTTGATATTTCCTTCAAAGTTGGAGTGCATGTGTCTGTGAGGCAAGGAACCATCAATGTGCTCACAAATAAGCCAGATCTGTCTGTAAAATGGATGTGCACACAACACCAAAGTCCTCGAACAAGACCAAAGTCCTGAAGTGGACAAACAACTAGGACTTTCCGTTGGAGTTTACAGCCAGTGAACGTGAAACAGAAGGAAAAAAGGTACAGCACTGACCGCTGAAGGTTATCTGAGATGTGGGGCATTTCTTTTGTGAAGAAGAATTTGTTTATCACCAGCAATTATTCTTACTTGAACTCTTATCCGGATAAGAAGAATTTCTGATAAGAAAAACCATTTCTTGGGTCCCGGTGAGTTCTCCTTGTTAGGTCTGGACTGTATCTGGTGATGATCCTCATTTGCTGAGGTCAATGATGGTATATCTCTATGATGCATATTCTTTGTATATTTTATCTTAGTGTCTCACCATCTTCATGAGCAGGTCATGCTAGTCACACTCACCATCTTCGTGAGCAGGTCGTGCTAGTCACACTCACCATCTTCATGAGCAGGTCATGCTAGTCACACTCACCATCTTCATGAGCAGGTCGTGCTAGTCACACTCACCATCTTCATGAGCAGGTCATGCTAGTCACACTCACCATCTTCATGAGCAGGTCGTGCTAGTCACACTCACCATCTTCATGAGCAGGTCATGCTAGTCACACTCACCATCTTCATGAGCAGGTCATGCTAGTCACACTCACCATCTTCATGAGCAGGTCATGCTAGTCACACTCACCATGGGTGGACCAGGGCTGCTACTGGTCAGGTCCTGTCTGCACCTCTCCAAGGTCATCCTAGAAACAGGTTCTCAGCCAAGGCTCTTAGCAATTTATAAAGCTGTCATTTGCAAAGACGGAAAGATGCCAACCGTCATATTATTTTCAGTCATGGAAAGGAGCAGTTTGCAGTCCAGCACTGTAGGGGTAGCATTGGCTGTTATCATTCCATGTTGAGAAATAATGTCTTTAATATCATTAGTTCATCTTCTCTTGGGTGCCAACTAGTTCTGACATCAGATCATTTGAGGTCTAGTGCCTGGTTGGTAGTTCATGTGGCTTTGATTTGCTTCTCAATTAATTTGATACAAGACAGTGTTCTCAAAATATCTTCTTGTGTAATTTTTAGAATTTCAAAAGATGAAAGGTGTCTGATGTTAATAAGTTACTTTTATTAGGTGTAATTTTTAGAATTTCAAAAGATGAAAGGTGTCTGATGTTAATAAGTCACTTTTATTAGGTGTAATTTTTAGAATTTCAAAAGATGAAAGGTGTCTGATGTTAATAAGTCACTTTTATTAGTTGTCAGAAAGAGAGTAAAGTAAAAGTAGAGGACACCTTTCCTCACCTTTGGGTGTATTAGGCATATAGGGCTAGACCTATATTCTATAGACCAGCCGGCATTCAGTGGGTCAACATCATGCCGACCGTCTTTGACTTCTGAGAAGTTTATCTGGTGCCCATTTAAGGCTGGGTTAACTAGAAGCCAAGGTCTTTTTTGAAAACATCTGGCACAATGCTGGTTTGAACCTACAACATTCAGGTCGGAGGGAAGCAGTCAGCTGCTACGCCACTAGTGATAGAAAAAGAGTACAGAAGTATTATTTTGAAGACATCCTACTGCATGATTTTTGAATCTTGGAATGTGAATGAATCAATCCTGAGACGTGGTATGAAACATCTAGAGTAAACAACTTCTTCTTCTGCATTCTGAGCACTTCAGGGTCAGTGCTGCAAATATCACCTGTCTCCGTGTTGTCATGATTGGGGAGCTTGTGTTTCTCAATGACCCCGACAGCTATGCCAGCAATAGCAGGGCTTCCCAAGCCGGACAGGCCAAAGGGTGGAGAACAGACAATGAGAAAAGCCCTTGTTCTTCCGGTGGTAGTGGTGGGGGGGGGGGGGGTGTGTGTTGAGAGAGTGAGGGGAGAAGGGGGGGGGGGGGGGAGAGATGATTCAGAAAGATTTAAGACAGGGACATGGAGAAATATCAGTAAAGCTGACTGAGAACAGAGGATTGAGATCTCTCCAGGAGCATGGATCACTGCACCATCTGGCATGGCACATAATGATGATGATATAATTCTTAGAACCTGAAACTTGAAATTAATTTTGTTACTATCGCTATAAAAATCAACATTTTCTTTAGATATGTAATGGAATGGTCCCTTTTTGGGAAGAAAAAGAATTGGATCCATTGCCTCATAATGTCGTAAATTGTGGGGGTTTTAGTGAAATCGGATTTGTTGGGCTGAAAGTTACAGATATCACAGCCTGACTGTAAACCACATATCCACAACCCTTGTAAAAGATTAATTCAGAAGACATAGACGTAACTAACAGACACAAAGCTTTTGTTAATAAGAGAAAAGTTTGTCATATTCTTCCTGGCTATGTTCGTAATTGTTAACATTTTCCCCAGAATGCCAGGCCAAATACCAGCCACCCATTGACTGTTGGCTACCCACCTGGGTCACAGAGGTCAAATGCTAACCGCTTCTTTTCGGCCAACTCTGCTTTTAGTCCTATTGTGATCCCAGGTGAGCTTTATAGTGGAATCTTTGGTCGTTGTTTATTGGAAGTACAAGTATGTAGTATAGTGGGATTGTGGGTAGTGAAATAGTCTTTTTTTGCCATTTTGTTGTTGATGTGGGTGTTGGTTTTGTGTGTGTGTGTGTTTTTTTGTCAATAAAGGCTGCTGCTGAAACATCTAACTCTCTCTCCCCCCCCTCCCTCTCCCCCTCCCCCCTCTCTCTCCCGCTTTCTCTCCCCCTCCCTCCTCCTCTCCCTCTCTCTCTTCCCCTCTCTCCCTCTCTCTCTTCCCCTCTCTGTGTGTGTGTGTGGGATTTTGTTTGTGTGTTTTTCTTCACCTTCTCCCTTTGTTAAGCTTCTTAGTTAGGGTTTCAGTGGATTCATTTCTTATTAGCTGACCGCAGTCTCCCCTGTTTTCGTCACTTTTTTCATGTTTTTCTGACATGTTATAGAAAAGGAATGGACTGGAGAACCTGGAAATAGCTGGCAAGATTGGTGGGAAAAGAGCAAGGGGGAAGGCAGGAGGGAAAATACCTGGATGGCTTGTCCACATAGATGTGGGTGAGAAAAGAGCTCTGACCTAATCCCTGTTTCTGGTGATCTTGTGAGAAGAAAAAATATAACAGTCTATGCTTATCAGCACTGCATACAAGATGATAAGATCTATTGAATATATATATATGTGTGTGTGTGTGTGTGTGTGTGTGTGTGTGTGTGTGTGTGTGTGTGTGTGTGTGTGTGTGTGTGTGTGTGTGTGTGTGTGTGTGTGTGTGTGTGTGTGTGTGTGTGTGTGTGTGTGTGTGTGTGTGTGTGTGTGTGTGTGTGTGTGTGTGTGTGTGTGTGTGTGTGTGTGTGTGGTGTGTGTGTGTGTGTGTGTGTGTGTGTGTGTGTGTGTGTGTGTGTGTGTGTGTGTGTGTGTGTGTGTGTGTGTGTGTGTGTGTGTGTGTGTGTGTGTGTGTGTGTGTGTGTGTGTGTGTGTGTGTGTGTGTGTGTGTGTGTGTGTGTGTGTGTGTGTGTGTGTGTGTGTGTGTGTGTGTGTGTGTGTGTGGTGTGTGTGTGTGTGTGTGTGTGTGTGTGTGTGTGTGTGTGGTGTGTGTGTGTGTGTGTGTGTGTGTGTGGGGGGGGGGGGCGCGCGCGCGCGCTGCGAGGTGTGTGGCGCGGGCGGGGGGTGGGGTGGAGGGGGGGTGGGGGGGGGGCGGGCGGGCTGTGTTAGCGCATTCGATAGGAGACTCATGTTCAAATCCAGCTGCGACTGTGTTTGAAACCGGATGGTTCCTGGGGTTTACCCAGCCTCTAGGAAATGGGTACCAGAGTTAACACTCTTGGGTAAATGGAGGAACGTCACTGTAGCTATGGAGGTTCGTGCGGACGGTGACACAGGCGGACAGTTTCTTATCAGCTTTCCGTACTGGTGGCAGAGCAGTTTATAACCTTGTGCAATGACGCTGGTTCACATCTCCAGACTTTACCTTTATTTATATATATATATATATATATATATATATATATATATATATATATATATATATATATATATATATATATATATATATATATATATATATATATATATATATATATATATATATATAGAGAGAGAGAGAGAGAGAGAGAGAGAGAGAGAGAGAGAGAGAGAGAGTAAAAGTATAGGTCCCCTTTTCACACCTTCTTATATATTTGGGCATAGAGTGCTGGACCTTTATTTTATAGACAAATCAGCACTGGTTGGGTGATGTGGTCAGCATCATGCTATCTGCCTTTACTTCCCATGAATGTGTGTGTGTGTTTATATGTGTGTGTGTGTGTGTGTGTGTATATATATATATATATATATATATATATATATATATATATATATATATATATATATTATATATATATATATATATATATATATATATATATATATATATATATATATATATATATATATATATATATATAAATTCACTACATCTTATCATGGTCGTGTGCATTGCTGTTCAGCATAGGCTGTCTTGTTTTATCATCATCATCGTATATAGTATTTTGAAATCCTAGGTGTGTTTTAGAGAATTCCATCCATGTTTTCCCTTTTTTTTTTAAACTGAAGTTGTTTTTAAAGAGACTTGACTAAGTTTTTAAAAAAAATTTATTTCGGAATTCCAGTCATGTAATAATTTAAAGATAACAGTCAGTTTTTCTTGTCACCAATAGGCACAGCACCTTCTGCTCTACCCCTGCGGCCACCGGTGAGTGCCCCTATGCTCCTCACTCCCCAGCACTTCATAAATCAGCCGCCGCCACCGCTGTCTGTACATCAGCTGCTGCAACAGCAGAAGTTGCAGCATCTTCACCACCAGCAGCACCAGTACTCACAGCAGAGTGGCGGTCAGCATGTGGTCAGTTATGGGCCAGAGGTAGGCCAGCTTTGTTTCTTTCTTTTTTTTCTTTTTTGTTTGGCTTTGTTTGCTTATTTCTAGAAGTTAGCTGTGCGTAGTTGTTTTAGGGAGAAAAACTAGTTCTTGGCAGATTCACCAGGGCTGACAGACTGGCTGCCTGGGTGACTGTCTGCCTGATTGACCAACTGATTGGGTGTCTGCCTGCCTGATTGACCGACTTATTAATTGACTGACAACCTGCCTGATTGGCAGTCTGCCTGATTGATTTATTGATTGACTGACTACCTGCCTGATTGCCTGTCTGCCTGATTGACCGACTTATTAATTGACTGACTACCTGCCTGAATGATTAGTTGACAGACTGATTGATTGACTGAGTGCCAGCCTGATTGACTGACAGTCTGATTGAGAAACTGATTGCCTGATTCACTGACTACCTGATTCGCTGACTGCGAATTGACTGATTACCTGAAAAGGCTGACTGTCCAGTTGGCTGACTGCAAGATTGATTGATTGACTGTCTGATTGTTTCTGATTGTCTGCTGCCTGATTGACTGAATCATTGATTGCCGAACTGACTGTTAATTTTTCGGTTTACTTCGACTTACTTTTTCTACTCTAATTTCTTCACGATTATTTTACCCTCCTCTGTTACTTTATTAACACTAATGTCTTCACATTTATTTTAGCATCTTCAGAGACAAAACCTACAACGGGACAGCCAAGTTCCCCAACCACACCCTGTCCAAGCGCCAGCCTGTCAGTCACCAACATCTGGACTATCTGACCAGGCAGTGCTTGCTGTGACATCATCAGCCTCAGTGATCCAGCAGTTTATACCATTACAGGTTTGTGTTAGTTTTTAGATGTATATCTACATTTTTAAGGCACATTAGGCCAACACCCAGGTCGACCCAACCTTGAGTGGATACCGGGTGCAGTCCTGGGAAAGTAAAGGCGGCCGGCGTGATGCTGACCACATCGCCCATCTTGATAAAGGTCTAGCCCTATACGCCCTATATGCCTAAATGCGTGGAAAGGGTCCTTCACTTCCTTTACTTAGGCCAACAATACATTCAGCAGCATGGAGGGGGAGGAGACAAATGAGACATTTGATCCAATTACTACCCTAGCTCTAGAAACAAATCAGATCTGCACGTCAGATGGCGTAACTTCCAAGACGCCCTCTTCATGACAGCTGTATGTCACATAGAAGGGACTGTACTTCTGTCACAAGACATTACAGCTGTCCTGTTTAGTGCACAAACTGTACTACTGTCACACAGGTAATGCTATCCTGTTTAAGTACAAGGACTACTACTGTCACACATGTGTGTTGCTGTGCTTTTAGTGCAAGGATTGTACTATTGTCAGACATTTATTGCTTTCCTGTTTAGTGCAAGGACTGTACTACTGTCACACATGTATGTTGCTATCCTGTTTAGTATGGGGACTGTCACATGTGTATTGCTGTACTGTTTATTGCAGGGATTGTACTACTGACACATATGTATGTTGCTATCCTGTTAAATACAAGGACTGTACAGCTGTCACATGTGTGTTGCTGTCTTGTTTAGTACATTAATATTTGTTTATGTAATTTATATTTTTTTTTTTGACTATCCTTTGATTAACCGGCACTAAAGATGGCGGCCACAAAATATCCGTTCAAGCCGCAGTCACGTGTCAGTTGCGCACTTCCGGCTACTTAATTTGCGGTTTTCCTGCGGTTTTCCGCCAACAACCGCTACCTAACTCGGCGGGGGGAGTGGGGAGGGGCGTCGGAAAACCGCAAATTAAGTAGCCGGAAGTGCGCAATTGACACGTGACTGCGGCTTGAATGGATATTTTGCGGCCGCCATATTTAGTGCCTGTTAATCGAAGGATAGCTTTTATTTTCATTTATGCTTATTTTTGTACATTATTAAAATTTTTATTTACATTTATTTATTATATTCTGATTTATATACTTTATATACTTTTCAGGTATCAAGAAATCAAAAGATGCCCAGTAAGAGAAAAGACAGTGAAAGCGAGAGGTCAGATGGCGGGATGAGTTCTGGCAGTGACACAAAGTGTCAGAATTTAGATGATTTTGTAACACAGTTACCATCTGCAGAGTCAGCCATTTTGTCCCGAAGGCTAGACCAACAAACAGCTGCTCCGAAAAACAAGAAAGATAAAAATGGAGTGGTACTCCAGTCTTCATCCATACAATCGGGAACTCTTTCGTCATCTTCAAGTGTTTCTTCAAAGTCTGTCACTCCTACAGAAAAATCTGGCCACGGATATCAGAAAAAGAAGACCCGATTGGCTGCAAATTTTGGAACAAAGCGAAGCTAATATTGGGGGCTGAAGATGTGATTGGTTGCTCCCCAGATATCGTCATCGATGGCTTCCTGTATATCAGCAGGTTCCTCTCCTGTTTGTAACATCTTTTTTAACTGAGATTGTAACTTGTCATAGCCTACCCGAGCATTGACCCCATTTATCACCCATTTTAACACCCAGTTCAACAGATGGCATAATTTCTTAAACATATAAGGATATTTAGATGTTGACAGGTTAGCACTATATCCATCAGCAAATCAGTTTCAAACTCTGGACTGTTGGAAAAAAAATTAGTTATCTCTGTAGAGCTGGCAGATAATTTAGATATTTCTGGACATTACAAATCTATAGGCAGTTTGCAGATAATTTAGATATTTCTGGTCAGGTGGCAGATAATTTCGACATTTCTTGACATTTGGTAGAAATTTACAAATCTCTGGACACTAGTCACACTAGTTTATGAAACTGAATAGTTTTACAGCCATCACTCTTCTTCTTCTTTGCGTTTACCAGCTGTAAACTTTGGCGGAAAGTTTTTGTTGTTCATCCACTTCTGGAATGCAGTCCTGTTCCAGAATCTGAGTGTTGCGTGTGCATCCGTTTGACAGATCTGACGCATTTGTGTGCAGACTGTTGGTTCCTTGCCTCTCAGGCAGATGCACTCCGACTTCGAAGGAAGCTCCCAATTAATCGACTCTTATGGCATGCTTTTGGGTAGGCAGTGGGTCTATTCTTGTTTTCCCTAAAATAAGGCCCCGCAACCCACACGGGGACAGCCTCCTTATTTGAGTCCATTGCTGTAAAGTTGGAAGGCAAGATGGATTTACAGAACTGATTTGACTTGCTTGTGAAATGAATTTATGAGTGAGAGGGAGCAGGACAGAGTTCAGCCTCCCTCTGATTGCACATGAAAGTAGGCAGATTATAAATGTCTTGAAAGTTGCCAGTTAGCACATTGATAAATTCTTTTTGCCAAACCTTAACAATTTAGTTCCATTAATTTTAACAAGAAATACTTTGATGTGCTTTAAAATTCAGAGATTCACACTCTTGGCCATCTGTCTCTCACCCTAATGGGCTACATGTCCATCATTCACATCTTAGACTCTTCATTGCTTGACCTGTGTATGATAATGATTAAAAAGTCTCCATTTTTCTGTGCTTACCTTTCTGCTGGTCAACCCCTGCATCTTTTTTTACTTCTAGAGGGTCATTTCAGTGTAGCAGCTAAATGCTTGCCTTCAGCCCAAATGTTGGAGGTTTGAATTCACTTAGAGTCGCATTTTTTCAGTAATGATCTTGGCTCCAGGTTGACCCTACCAGAAATGGGTACTGGCTGGTCCTGGGAAGCAAAGGCCGTCAGCGTGATATTAACCTCAACACCCTCTAGGGCCGATTAGTCAATATGCCAGGTGCGCTACTGGCGTGACGGGTCCTTTGCTAATAGGGTCCTTTCTTTTACTTACTTCTTTCAGGAATCATGGGTCCTTGTTTTTTACTTACTTACTTTCAGGAACCATGGGTCCTTTCTTATACTTACTTCTTTCAGGAACCATGCCTTTTGTTACTGTTTTTTCCCTTCAGTTGCACTGATTAATATAAAAATATGTTTACATTATTATTTTAAAATCTTTTTACAATTTTAAAAGTTTTCAGTTATCATTCATTAACATACCTTCATATTATTACTTGTATGTTTTCAAGTAAAGTAACACCCACATCAGGGATTTCAAATGGCACCCACCTTGAATATATGGCAAGGACCCCCTCTCCCCAGTTCTCTAGTGTAATATTATATGGGTGTCGGTGGTGAGGTGGTTAATCTTCTTTGTCTTATGCCGTGAAGGTTGTGGGTTCGATTTCAGTTTTCAGACTTTACAAATGCAAGTGTTTCAGTGGTTTGGGAGATGGGGGGGGGGGGGGGGGGGGGGCAGCGGCGTAGCCCCCAAGTAGTTTGCCAGACGACAGCATGTACCATTAGTATGGAGACTGTTTGCTGGCTGTTGAGGAGGGGAGACTAAGCTAAAATGGGCTTGTCCTGAGTGGCGTAATGTCAAATCTTTACCCAGATTGGGGGGAAGGGGGCGGGGTGTTGATGGAGATACAAAGTCCATGCATTGTGTTGCAGGTATCCTGCCTGCCACTCTGCTGAGAGAGGGTGAGCCATGTAGGATCAAATCCAGTGCAAGGAAGTTGATCTCATCATCATCATCCTGTAGCAGGTCTTTTACAGAATGTTGCTGCCCCTTACAGAACACTTAATCCCTCACCAGCTCTCCCACCTCGTGCACTTTCCTACCTAAGGCATCATTTATATCTTGTGCCCATCTTAGGGCTGGTCTGCCCCTGCACTTCTTACCTGGTGCCATACCTTCTGCTACTATTCTTTCCAGTCCTCCGCAGCATAAATATGGCCACAGTATTTCAGTTTTTGAAGCAAGACCCTGTTTATGAGTTAGTTTTGGAAGTTGGTCATTCCACCTTTAAATCCCTTCAGTTAGTAATCTTCATTATGTTTTCATCTCCGTATGCAGTGAAGTAATAGAAAAGTAACAGCTGCACTGAGCATAAAACACACATGGTTTTAGTTCATTTGATGTCCTCACAGATTCTTTAAATATATATATACTTTTATGTGCATATAGTGCTATTAAATGCGAAGAAGCTGCAATTATGATTTTAATTGTCATTATTTGGTCAGTAATTGTTTTTTTCTTGGAGATGATTAAATGAAAGTTGTGATTTTTAAACATACTATCCTTGCTTTGACTTGAGTTTAACCTTTATCACATCATTTAAGAAAAATTTTAATGGGTTTATTTGACTTGATCTGAAATGGCTGAGCTACCTTATACCGATTAGTTGGTACTTCCTGTTTTCTGTTAATGCCGAATGTTGGGTGGTATACCAAACCTGACATCCCACATTGTGCAAAAGGCCACGGCCGGAGCAGTGCATTGAGGAGGATACTAGCCTTATCCCAGGAAAAGGAAATGCAGCCTAAAAACTTCATGTTACAGCAGGGCAGAACAGGCCCTTAGCTTTGGCTGTTAGGTCGGTAGTTGTAACCTACCAGGACATCACTCAAGGGATAAACACCAGGGGGATCAGTCGTGGAGAGGTTCCAGAAACCCCTTTCAACCGTTGGGCCATATCTATTCCCCTGCTATATTCAGGTTCCCCGGCAAAAGCCAGGGTGGGTCTTGAAACAAAAAAAATTGCATGACCACTATTGTGAGGCAGCTAGTTAGTGAGTGCAGTTTTAAATGGGAATCCTTGGAGATTGTCACCAAAGCTGCAGTTTGTGCTTTGTATGACGCTTGAGGCAAGCAGCTAGCCATTCTGGGGATAGAGACTGAGCCATCTGGGATAACATATGGTGCAATGAAGTCGATCCTGTCATCTTTAACCTCAACTTTTAACTTTGTTATTAATAATTTTTCTGGAAAGCAACAGATTTTCCATAGGCCCCATTTGTGGAGGGAGGGTGGGGGGATAGGCTCACTGCCCCTAAAAAGTGTGTTATAAGCATAGACTAATTAGGAGTATGTCCTTTGAAGTCGGAGTGCATCTACCTCAGAGGCCAGGAACCAACAATCTGCATACAAATAAACCATTTCTGTAAAGCAGATTTGCATGCAAATCTCAAGTTCTGGAAAAAGACAAGTCAAGAAGTGGACGAACAATCAGAAATTTCCGCAAAAGTCTACCTGAAGAAGAAGAAGACTGGCTTTACAGAGCCAGGGGTTCAAAAAAGGTATTATGTTATTCGTTTGTCTTGTTCATATGCTGATGAAGGCCTTCTAGCTGCAGTGTTCATTTATTGTTCATGATGAGGCTTGTTCTACTTCATGGGTGCATACTGGGCAATCAGTGAATATGTTGAAGAAAATCCAGGTCGGCTTCGTCAGACAAAAATTGATTCTTTTTAAATGCATTACAAATCATTCGCCTAACCTTTATCTTTTTGTCGGACGATGTGGGTATTTAAGGCAGTGAGAGCCCAGATTATCTGGCAGACAAGGCGGTTACCACGACTGGCCCAGCCCTGAACAGGAATGATATTAATACCATATGAGCTGCATATCATAAAGAAGATTACGATAACAAGCAGGACTCTGTATTCTTGTTCAAGCTGGATATAGGAGTGCAACGAGAACAGATCAAACTATGAATGATGATATCAGGGAGAGAGTTGGCACAAATCCAATACTAAACTTTATAGGTAAACAAAAAATCAAATGGTTTGGCCATGTGACAAGATTGGCGTCAGACAAGGCACCAAAGAGAGCAATGCTATACAGTTAACAATGGTAACAGAGCCAGAGATTGACTACGAAGAAGATGGACCGCATAAATATCGGAGACACTGAAAAGTACTATATATGAAGCGAACAGAAGGGCTCGTTCCAGAGATCTCTTCCTGCCCTGACGCCATGAGGCATTCTAGGAGTAGAGAACAGAAGGGCTCGTTCCAGAGATCTCTTCCTGCCCTGACGCCATGAGGCATTCTAGGAGTAGAGAAAAGAAGAATGAGACCTGGAGCAGTCAGGTACGAATATTTCACCAAGGGCGCAAGGTGTCTGATTAAGCAACACAGAACAGGCGTTTTACTCATGTGGAGCTTGCTACTGAGGAGGAGATCGGAGCACATATGGATCTGTCTTGAGTGCTGTGATGATAATCCTCACAAATCACTACTTGTGACACACTTATCAACAGAAAAGATCAGACAAATATATAGTATGCATGTGGTTTAATAAATGAAATGAAAATCAGTTTTCAAACTACCTATATGGGTCCCATTCCTGATTATTGAGGGGAACAAGGAATAGACCAATTGTTCCTTAACCATGTCTTAAAAGTTCACTAATTAAGTGCTGGTTGAAGTTGGATGTGTTGGGCAGAAAGGCACAGATATCACAGCTTAGCTATGAATCACAACACAACACACCTTTTAACATTGAAAACAGAAGATAAAGAAGAAGAAACAGCAAACAATTTCGAAAGAATGTAGCACATAAAAAGTGGATTTTCTTGCACAGAATATTCCTCGTTTTAAACATATTTTCTTCTCTAAGCATCCACTTTCTCTTTCTCTTTCTTTCTGGTTTACTTCTTTTGTCTTTTATCGTGAATGGAGCATAAACCGTCAACCATCACAGTCTAATTCTTTAGGGTCTCCAGAAAACTTCCTCCATATATCTCCTTGTCTCCAAATCTTTTCTTTATGCAGTGTTTTGATTTACTGGTAACTGCACATATGATAAGCATTCTTTTTAAAAACTTTTATCTTACTCAGCCAGTATTCAAAAACTACTTTACACTAACTGGTAAAATACTGTTTAAAAAAAAAGGGTTCTTTTCCACCCCATCTCAGGGGTTGCAGGATTTGGTAGGGGTTCCTAGGGAGTTCACTGGACAGGGGGTTGGGGTAAGCATTAGTTTCCTCCTCTTCTTCTTCTTTTGTTCGCCCGAAATAGATTATCTGTATCTGCACTGTTGTCTCTAGTATGAAGATCACTGTCTTGTGTAATTTACTCAGTGACCTGTAAAGTTCTACTTGAACCAGTGCTTTGAAAATGGCCATCTTGGGGCAGTGGCTTGGGAGGACCCTGAAAAGGACCGATAGTCTCCATGTACGTATGCTGGTAGGTTAGGGTTAGGGTTGGATGCAGCAATGCTGACGGGTCAAGGAAATTCATGGTGAAGGTAAAGTCATGAAGTAAGAACACTGCTTCCAAACAGATCAAGAAAAGATATAAACCCGAACAAGAAGTATATTAGCAAGCTTCACAATATAACAAATAAAAAAAAAAAAGGCGAACGTTGCAGCTATGGAGCCTTCATCAGCACATAAAAATCAAACAATACCACACAAAATCACTCAGCTGGTATCTCGAAGCCAGGTCAATGATTTCTCAGCGGACTGCTGACAAGCATGGGCCGGGGAAATAAATACCAAGGGCCATAACTAGGGGGTTTAAAATTAAACTGTGGGCAGTTCAATCCCCTAGGAGTCAAAATGAAACTGTGTTGGCAATTCAGTCCGGAGGGTGTTAAAGCACCCAAAGTATAAATAAAGCGATTTTCAAGAAAATTGCGGACTCTGTCAATGGAGTGGCTAGATTTAATGGCTGTCACCTCCATTGTGTCTTCAGCTTGCACCATCCAAGACTTTCACCTTTTTTCAGTCTGTGACCCTTAGCTCTATCCAGGGCTTCATGCAGGAGGTGCCTCTTGTCTGCAGCTATTCTGAGATGTGACTTTGCTTGCAGAACATTGTGAACAACATTCTTTGTTCCATGTCCATTGCTGCCATCATCTTGACAGCACTGAGTCCTTTTTGTCATTTCACTGCATTTCACTACCTCTAAAAGAAGTTATAATTAAGGCACACATAATAGTTGCAGCAGCCAGGTGTAATCTGCAGTCCTGTGTAGGTAAGGACGTCATGGATTAAATCTGGTCAAGCACCTTTACCTTCTCATTTCCTACAAGTTTCTTCTACAAATTCATTTTGGCAAGGTAGGGGAGCTGATAAAAAAATCAGAGAAACTCTACAACAGCACAATGTGTCTATGGCCGATATGGCCAGAATAGCAAAAAGCAGAACCTTACACCTGCCTCGACACTCTCCTTCTTCTTCTCCTCCACCTTGTACCTCGGCAAAGTGTCGGGGGGAGATGTAATGTTCATTGATGAGCTCTGTCAAGAGCACTATTAAGACTGACATTCATTGCTGTAAGGCTGTTCTTAATGCCATCACTTTATCTTTTAATGTGGCTCACTGTGGCAGATAGTACACGGGCATTCTTGTTAGGTGTCCAAACCACTTCATTTGTTGATCTTTGATGACCTGTAGGACTGGCTTTATTCCTAGCATTCGTCTGATATCATGATTTCGTATTCTGTCTTTCCTTGAAACTCCTGCAGCTCTTCTAAAGCATTTCATCTCTGTTGACATAATTTTACGTTCATTGGAGGATGTAAGTGTCCCTCGACACTCAAAGCAGTAAAAGAGGAAGTGAAGAAGAAGAAGAAGGGGAGCTCGCCCCACCTCTTTTCTCATCTGGGTGATGATAGAGATTTTTAATTCAGTAAGATTTAAAGGTTACACAAAGCCGTTGCATCGACTGCTGTGAAATAACGACTACTGGGACTGACAGAGATCAACTGATTCAGTAAACGGTAAAATAAATTTCTTTCTCCCCACAATGGGGCCACAGAAACCACACAGGGAAAACTTTCTATAATTCTCATTGTGATAATTTTTTTAATGACATTTACAAATGTTCTTTTGGCATGTGATGGGCATCATATCCTTGGAAGGGGATGCATCAGACTATGTTTCTAGATCCTTCACAGTTAACCTGTAGGAAGATGAAAATTAAACACACTGTATGGAATATTATTACTTAGTAATAAATAAAATAAAATACTGGCTTGAAGTCTCAGGTTCAAATCTGACTGAGACAGATTTTTAAAATCTTGGCTCCCGGGGTTGACACATCCTAGATTTGGTAATGTCCTGGCAAGTAAAGGCACCCAGCATGATGCTGACCAAGTCACCCATTGAATGCTGATTGGTCGATAATCACACTATAGGTCTAGCTTTATATGCCCGATGCGCCTTAGGCATAAAAAAGGGTCCTTGACTTGACTATAGTAATATCGAGTTATACAACGATAAACAATAATTTTGGAGCACCAAGGATAACAAGGGGAACAAAGTAACACTGTAACCTTTTATTCACCTCAAGAGGCAAGAGGGAAGAGATTGTATTAGCATGCTTATTTAACTCTGTAGATAGCTTTAGCCACAAAATCCAACCAGGCATGGAGAAGTCTAAAATTGGCTTGATGTAAGTTGGTGGAGGGCCTATGCTCTCTTGAAGATTAAAAGGCCGAAGAAAACAATAAGATAAAGGATACTGATAGTTGTAAGTAAGTAAGCAAATTTTACCCTACCAGGACATCACACAAAGCGATAAACACCCGGTGACACAAAGTGCCACCATGCAGATGAGCATCACCAGTGGAGAGGTCCCAGAAAATGTGTTCAGCCTTCAGGCTTTATTGCGGCCTCCGGCAAAAGCCAGGGTGGGGCTTCGAAATAATCAAAAATTGCATCATGCATGTGAACGATGTTAGTCTACTGATAGTTGTGTCTTATGTCTTTATTTATACAAGGGCCCTTATAGCCGCCCCTAGCCTTGGCTGGCAGATAGTCTAGGACAGACGCTCTCAACCTTCCTAATGCCGCAACATATGTGAAAGGGTCGTTTGTCCTCAAAAAATGGTTGTGACCTGTAGGTTGAGAACCTCTGGTCTAGGAGGAAGCTCCAACAGGTGGACAGACAAAGCACTGGTCTTCTTATCCAGCAATTTCTGCAGAATACTTTTGTTTCACAAGTACTGGAGTTACCTATCTTTTGAAGTTAACTAAAGCAGGCCAAAGAAGGGACCATACTGAATGGTCAACACATGGTCTCTACAATAATACCCAGGCTTCACACTATAGACAGAAGGAACTTCCTCCCCGACCTTATTTGTGATCATCACAGGCTGTGATTCTCATGCCTCCATTGTAACACATCTTTTTTACGTCCTCTTATCGCTTTGGGTGTTGAGGGAGATATGAGGTCCTGCTTCATGCTCTTCTGGCTGCTTCGACCATAGATACATTGTTGTGCAGTAGAGTTTCTTTGATGTTATCTTTCCATATGGTTTTTGGTCTACCTCTTGCTCTACATCCCTCTCCTCTTTTGGTATATGTCTTGTATGGTATAGCATCAGAAGGCATTCACTTCAAGTCAAGAGTGCTGTGAAGATTACCCAAATCAAAAATTATAACTCTCTCCAACTCTTTCTTTTATGTTTTGTTGTGAGTGACCACGTCTGGCACTGATAGCACAGGGTAGGAATGAATATGCTTTGTATGAGATGTTTCTTTGAGCTGATTGGGATTGCCTTATGCTATAAGAGGGAGCTAGCTGTCTCAATACTTGACCTGCTTTGCTCCATCAGATGTTAATTTCTTCATAAAATTTACCATCTTCAGTGAATGTTGTTCCAAGATATTTAAACTCAGATGCCTGTTTAGTATTTCTATGCTCTAATGCTTTATTTAAATTATGCTTCTTTCTTCCTATTGACATTACTTCTGTCTTTGGACTATAGCACTAAAATCTGGAAAGAAGGAAAGGTGTGAAAAACAATACCAGCAAAGTGGCCATGGGTTTAACCAAAAATCTGGCAGGGTTAAATATTTTCTGACATCCATACCTCTTTGGTCTTCTTCTCTTCTCCTTTTTTCTTCTTAGCATTCACCGGCTGTAAACTCTGGCAGAAAGTTCTGGTTGTATGTCCCCTTCTAGACTTTGGTCTTGTTCCACAACTTCAGTTTTAGTGTGCATGCCTGTATTACAGTTTTGGTCTATTTGTATGTAGCCTGTTGGTTCCTCACCTCTCAGACAGATGCACTCTGACTTCAAAGGAAACATCCCTAATCAGTCGCCTTTTATGACATGTTGTTGGGGGTGGGGCAACGAGTCTATACTAGATAATCAACAAGAACTTACTAGACAACACACAAGTTATGAATATAGGACCAGATGGTCAGAAGAGAGACTATGAATAAAAACAGTTACTGATAGAAATTAAAAAATAGACAACTAAAATATTTTGGCCACGTTAAAAGAAAAAACACTCGTTTAAAAACTACACTAGAGTGAAAGGTTAACGGCAGGACAGGAAGAGGTGGACATAAATATAATTGGGAGGACAATATCAAGAGATAAACGAACAGCAGTCTGAGAGAGTGTGCTACCAAGACAAGAGATGGAATGTGTTTGAGCTTCTCTGCAGACAACCTTCATTATGTAGATGGCACCTGATTGACTGCTAGAACTAAAAAGGAGATGAACAGGCTGGAAAGCCTCACTAATACAATAAACAAACATGGAAACAAGGGAACCAAATCATCACATCTGGTGGTGGAACTATGGTGGAAGCGGGAGAAATAATCCCTGGAGGAACATGAGAAATAATCCCTGGAGGGATAAGAAAAATAATCCCTGGAGGGAGCAGGAGAAATAATCCCTGGAGGAAGATGAGAAATAATCCCTGGAGGGAGCAGAAGAAATAATCACTGGAGGGAGCAGAAGAAATAATCCCTGGAGGGAGCAGAAGAAATAATCCCTGGAGGGAGCGGAAGAAATAATCCCTGGAAAAAGATGAGAAATATTCCCTGGAGGGACAAGAGAAATAATCCATGGAGGAAGATGAGAAATAATCCCTCGAGGGACATGAGAAATAATCCCTCGACGGACATGAGAAATAATCTGTGGAGGGACAGGAAAAATAATCCCTGCAGGGGCAGGAGACATAATCCATGGAGGGAGCAGGAGAAATAATGTCTAGTCTTTGTTTACATGAGAAAAAAGGGATCGAGGAGATGAGGATGTCCAAGACAAACCCTAAGACAAAAGCTGAGAGACTGAATGTGCTGGACTAGATTCCATCCTCAATAGCGAAATGATAGAACAGAAACGAGGACTAGACTGTGTGCCATATGTGACATATAATGGCACAACAGGAAGATGACTTGTTCTGATGATGATATTTGATTTACTGATTTAAGAATCGACATCATAGCATACAAAGCATACCTATAGATGCTCCGTCTCTCGCAGCAAATGACATAAGGTGTAGATGCTAACTGTTTCTGCAGCACACTGATTATGCACACGCTGATCTCTTCCTCTCATCCGTCCCTCCTTGCCGGATCCACACTTTATTCCTCATTTACACATTCTTGCCCATATTATTTCATCGAATTTCATGTCTTCTGCCAAAAGTCGTTCATATATGGTCTTCAGAATATCTTTCTTGTCCAATAGGAGTGTTTCCGTAGCTTTAGCTTTTGCACCCAGAAAATCTGCTCTTTCATTCCCTCGCACTCCTGCATGCCCCGGACAGTGTATCCACATGATTCCCTGCAATGTTGGCGTACTGATGCATGGTTTCCACGCATTCCACATTAGTCCATTTTGAACCTTCCGCAATGCTATTCCGATGATATTTACAGAAGGGGAAATGAACCCCAGACCACTGATTCAGAATACGTGTTCTCTAATGACTTCCATTTTCCTACCAAACCAAACATCACATACTTGGAATTCCTAACACTTGCTTGCAGCACACATCCTTTTTGATCAGGTGAAGGTTGTCTCGGTTCAATGTCTGCCATTTTTGCATAGTCTGCTAGTTGGTTAATTGTCTGTTTGCTTGTCTGAGGAAAGAAAATATTGAATTGTAACTTTGTTTACTGCACAATTTCAAGTTCTAATATTGCTTTCATCCATAGGCTGTAACAGATTAAGTAATTGTTTCAACAATTAGACTCAATCACAGCTGTAACTTCAGATTCAACTTGTGGTCACTGTGGTATCTGTATGATTACAGGCATGGGTGTGGAGAGTTTTTCCAAGACTGAAAATTAGAGACTATAATTTTTGTAACTCTCTCTCTCTGAGAAAGCTGATTTGTCCTGCTTTTACAGGTTTTTTCTATGAAAACATATTTTGGCCAATACATCTATATAACAGTTATAGTACTGGTTTCAACCACACAGTGTGCAGACATATACATATATATATACACTCACACGTTTCAACCACACAGTGTGCAGACATATACATATATATATACACTCACACGTTTCAACTACACAGTGTGCAGACAAATATATATATATATACACACACACACACACACACACATATATATATATATATATATATACATATATATATACATGTGTGTGTGTATATATATAATTTAAGGCGAATTTGTTTGGTCACTGTGAAGTCATATAAGCATATCATTATATCACTTTGCTTGTATGTGGTTGTGTCAAAAAAAAAAAAACATTTTTATGGTCAAAGGAAAAGAAATTAGTTTTTTCCCCTTTGCTACATTTGTATTTAATTATTACTTTTATTACTTCCTTCACTAAAAAAAAAAAAAAAAAACTTTCCAGAAACTAATCACTCTACATCTGAAAATAAAAAAAAAATCCATCTTTTAAATGATAAAACAGCCAGCACGGTTGCATGTCTGCTCGATGTTCATAGGTCCCAACCCCTGACTAAGATTCCAAATTTCTTTTTCTGCTTCTTCTTCTTCTCTTTCACTATTTTCTTAGGGTAGGATTTCACAGAATTATAACAATGCATTTCTGTTTGAAGAAATTTTTAAAAAGATAATATTCTAAAATTTTTTATAGACATAACATGCACTATTGATAACATGCAATGGTGGTCTGAAAGATGAGCGCATGGAAGGGCCGAATGTACAAAGAGGGCTGCATGCCCAAATCGTAACCCTGTGAAAATAAAGTTTGTTCATTTGTTCCTAACAATCCTGTGCAGTCTCTTCCATATCATGGACAGAATCCGGTTCATCACTTTCGACCTGTTTCATCTACACTTCTTTTAGGGTTTCCTTTTCCACATTAAAAAAAAAAAACTCAACAGTTTCCTTTGAAGTTGAAGTACATCTGCCTGAGAGGTGATGAACCAACAGTCTATATACAAATAAGCCATATCTGTAAAATGGATATGGACATGACAGTAAAGTTCTGGGAAAAATGAAAATTCAGAAGTGGATAAACGAACAACCAGAACTTCTTCTTCTTCGAGTTCCCCAGCTGTAAACTCCGGCAGAAGGTTCATCTCCCTCTTGACGATAAGACTTGTTGCAGAACCTGAGTGCAGCGTGCACATCCATTTTGCAGACCCGACTTAATTGTATGCAGACTGTTGGTTCCTTGCCTCTCAGGCAGATGCACTCTGACCTCGAATGAAACCCCCAATTAGTCTACTCTTACGACATGCTTGTTGGGGAGGCAGGGGGTTTATTCTTGTTTTCTCCCACAATGGGGCATTGGAACCCACATGGGGAACAACCAGAACTCACCACTGCTGAAGTTTACAGCAGGTCAACACTAAGAAGAAGATTAGAAAAACACAACACACAGGCCAAACCTGTATCATCTCCTTGGCCCTTTCAGCAGCATTATGAGCCCTGGATTTCTCCACTTGCAGAGATTTCCTCTGACTGACATTGTCTGTGGCCAGCTTGGCTTGCATCTGTCTGTGAATGGTGTCAACATCACAACAATGCAGATACTATCTTTTCAAGTACACTTACTAACATGAAAGCCACAGACAACAAAAAACATGGTCTAGACATAATTGTGCTCAAGACAGTGACGAGAAAATCTGGTGGACAAATACACTGAAAGGAAAAGCAAGACGGACATATAATAAGACTGCAGCTGGCACATTTTATATTATATTTATATTATTTTAGTATTATATGTTTTTGAATATTAATGGTTTATATATTTTATTAATAAAGGTTTACATATTTTGAATTAAACATACTTGTCTTGGTTCTACACTCTCTGGGACTGCTGTTTGTCCATCTCTTGATGTTATCCTCCTACTTGCATTGCTGCCTACCTCTTGCTCTCAACATTTTCTTCAATGTGGTTTTTAACAGCGTGTTGTGTCTTTTAATGTGGCTCTTTTTTATTTATTTCAGTAACTCTCTTTTCATTCATAGTCTTTCCAGAACCTCTGTATTGGACTGTTTTTGTTTTCGTGAGATACAACCTGTTTTTCTGTCTATCCACATTTCCAGCAACTCAATTCGATTTTCTAATTGTTTGTTTATTGTCCAAGTTTCATACAGCAGGGCAGAATATACAAAACATTTGATGATTCTCATTTTTAATTTGTTTGTCTCTCTAGGTGTCAATAATTTGCGCATCTTATTAAAGATAGTTTTAGCCATTCTTATTGTGTTCTTTAGTAAAATTCTGTTTCATTTCTGCCATCATCTGTTGCTATGTGTCTTAGATAAAAAAACTTGTTACTTGTTCTAATATCTCTGTTAACTGTGATATTCACTGCTGGTTGCTCTTTTCAATTTTTTATTACCATAGTTTATGTTTTTCAAATGTCTAAACCAAACTCTGGACTCTGCCTGTTGACTTGGTCCACTAGGTCTTGTAAGTCCAGCTCCCTTTCTGCTAGTAACACTGTGCCCTCAGCTGTTTGTTTATTATTCTTCCATTAATATTCAGTCCAGGCAATTCTTCAACTTGCTTAAAAATATTTTCTATTTTAAGTTGAAAAAGCTTGGGAATAACACACATCCCTGACATACTCCTTTGTTTTTATCTCTATCTTTTGTGAGGTCATGTTGTTGTGTCTAACTGTTGATTTTTCTTCACAGTATAGGTTACTAATAATTCTGATATCCTGTTCATCTAATCTGACATTCTGGAGGCACGCAGTAAGTTTTTCATGCTGCATCCTGTCAAAGGTCTTCTTGTGATCTATGAAACATCCATAAATGCTTTTCTGGACTTCTGTAAATTTTTCTGTCAGCATCTTTACATAAATTATAGCTTCCCTAGTGCCATTACTTTTCTGAAATCCCAACTGTACCTTAGACACTTCATTATTTATTTTTTTTTGAATTCTTTCTTGAATGATCTTGAGACGTATTTTAGTTAAATGACTAATCATTCTATATACTTCACACTCAACAGCTATTGACTTTTTGGGCAGCGTGATGAAAATATATGTTTTTAAGTCCTTTGGAATGTAGCCAATGTTATAAAAATTGTTATGAATTTCAGTGATGCTGTCAACGCCAATGTTGAACAGTGATTTTTTATTTCCATTTTTTTTTTGTCAGTACCTGCAGCTTTTCCATGCCTCATATTTTCAATAACTGTCTCCATTTCAGCTTTTCCATGCCTCATATTTTCAATAACTGTCTCCATTTCAGCTTTTCCATGCCTCATATTTTCAATAACTTTCTCCATTTCGGCTTTTAAAATGCTTGGTCCATTTTTAATATTAAACAATTCTGGTTTGATGCTTCTGTTATTTAAAAATGTAGGTTTATAAATATTTCAATAATATAGGTTTATATTTGTGATAATGCAAGCTTATATATTTGAATAATATAGGTTTATATATCTAAATGATATAGGTTTATATATTTTAATAATATAGGTTTATGACAAACCTTGAGGTTGTTAAGTCACACTGCAGTTTGTCAAACTTTCCCTTGAACCAGTCGTGGGCTTCTTCTAAATGTCTAGAGATCTTTTGAAAAAATATATATATATATTATAATTTTGAAATAAATAAATAAAGCTGAGTTGAGCTGAGCTGTCAAGAACTGATATCCAGCACTCTGGACATTCCCATAAGCGTTCCGTTCCCATCTTCAGCAGCCAATGCAAAGTTCTAATACCAGTGATGCCAGTAGCAGTCTGATTATATGTCTGCCTTGCCTTTCCTTTGAGTGTTGAGTATAGACCAGATCCCCTGGTCACACCTCACTGAATCACTCTCTCCAGACTGTGATGATAAATTTGCTGTTCCAAATCATACACGTGCCTTAAGGCCTCAACCACATCTGCCTTATCATGCATCAGTATTCAGTATTCCACCAGTAGCCTACCAGTCTGTCCACCTGTTAATTTCCCTATACACTGGCATACCCGGGAGAAAAGATCCAGACAATCCTCTTCACCCTTGACCTCCGAAGCGAAGCATTCCACTCTGCATGAAGCATGCCTGTCCTCACCTTCCTCAGCATACTTTCTGAGTCACTTTCAATTATGACATGTGTGTGTGCCATGTTCTCTATCCAGCGGAAAGCTGCATTGACCACCTCAACCTCCATTCTTAAGCTGCATGTTGTGGAATCGTATGCTAGGCTCATATCCTGGGGTCTCAAAACCCATATGGGGAAGAATGGGAAATAGAAAAAAAAAGTTTCTATGGCGAAGTGATTAAGCCATTTTGACTGGTGTTCAGAAGGTTGTGGGTATTTTTCCAGACTTCATCACTTTCCCGTGTGGGTTCTGGGGCCACATCTTTGGGGCTTAAAAAAATTGTTAAAATAGAACAGCCCCAATGCTTCCCATAACAAGCTTGACATAAATGTTTGCTCAAATCAAATGTGATTGGCCTAAATTCGTAGATACTGCAGCCTAGCTGTATACCACATCCCAATTTTCAACCAGCCTTTCACACCCTTCTAACCTTGAACACAGAGGAAGAAGAAAATGTTATCAATTGGTTTGTGAGTATGATGTTGCAGAGATCCCAAGGAGTCAATGCTGGTGCTACAAAGTTTGTGCTTTGTGTGACTCCTGTGGAGGATGATCAGTCACTCTGTGGAGAAAGACTAAGCCATATGGGAGTCAAGTATTTCTGCTCTGTTCCATAATAAAGGTTTAAGTAAAAATGTCCATTTCTCATCTGTATCTGTTTCCCTTCACCAAGCATTTAAAGTTTTTGTTTTTTTAGGTTTAATTGGCAAGGCTCTTGATGATGTTGAATGTATACAGTCATTCACTTAATTTTTAAAAAAATGGCTGACATAGGGAATATGAAATTCCTCAGTAAACTAAATAACACATATATAACATACATAATACAAATCCACTTGGTTAACTTGAAGTTTTTTTAAATTTTCTTACTTCTAGTGATTCGGAATGAGCTTCCTGTAACCTTTCCTCAGAACTTTGGGACTTCTTACATAATTCCTCCTCTCGTTTCTTACACTTCTGTGCATTAAAAGTTCAAATGTTAACCATAAAACCCCCTATGTCCATTATTCTTTCATTTTTAGGAAAAGTGAAAGGTTAAAAAACAAGTGCAAAGATAATCTCCTAACTTTCTATTTCCTGTGCAAAAGATCAAAGGACAACCAGAATCTTATAAAGCTGTATTCTTCTGCTCTGAGAATAGCCAAAGGTTAAAGAGCAAAGATTTTCCATGTGGTTTCTGGGGCCCCATTGTGAGGAAAACAAGAATAGACACATTGCCTCCCCAACAAGCATTTCGTAAGATTAAACTTATTGGGGGCTTCCTTCAAAGTCAGAGTACATCTGCCTGACAGGCAAGAAACCAACAGTCTGCACGGAAATAAGCAAGATCTGTCAAACGGATGCATATGCAAAACCCAGGTGCAGCAACAAAAACAAAGTCCAGAAATTGACAATCGACCCGGTCTTTCCGCAGGGGTTTACAGCCATGAATTTAAACAACAACAAGCAAAGAGAAAAGATAAAGTGAATTTAAACAACAACAAACAAAGAGAAAAGATAAAGTGAATTTAAACAACAACAAACAAAGAGAAAAGATAAAGTGAATTTAAACAACAACAAACAAAGAGAAAAGATAAAGTGTAATACTCAAAGCTGTAGGTAATCTCCTAGCTTCATTCACCCCTGAATGGAGACCAAAGGTTTAATGAATAAAAGTAAAGGCCATATTACAGATGATATAAAAATGTCTGGTACTTTACATGTGAAATATCTCAGTTTATGGGATATTTATCTGGGTGCAGTGATGCACATTCATCATTTAGTTATACTTCCACTTCATAAAGAAACAACTACAAAACTGACTGGCAATCTGTACCATTTACTTCTGTGTGTTACTGGGACCCTTTAGAGAAGCAAAGAAAACTAACACTTAGTGGTGGACTGGCCAGGTTGTCACTTACTCAAAGGCTTCTCCTTCTTCTTCTTCTTCTTTGTATTCACAGGCTGTAAACTCAGGAGGAAAGTTCTTGTTGTTTGTCCACTTCTGGAATTTGGTCTTGTTCCAGAACTTGAGGTTTACGTACACACCTGTTTCATAGATCTAGCTTATTTGTGTGCAGACTGTTGGCTCCTTGCCTCTCAGAAAGAAAATACCCCTAATTAATCTTTTTATAATGTGCTTGTTGTGGGTGGATGCTGAGTATGTAGTGGGTCTACACCCCACCCTCTCCTAGTGAAGTACCCAGAACCCACACAGATATTCCTGAAGGCAAGTGAGTCCCTTTAAATGTTTAAAAATATGTTAAAGACATTAATTTCATTTTAGTACAGTAAAAATGTTTTTAGGGTCACTTTATTTCTTTATCCCTTTGGGTTTCAGTGCAAAATTTTATAAAGTACTACATGTAAGGGTATACAAATGTTAAGAAGTACAGTTATCAGTGTAACAGCTGGGTTACCATATATTTCTCTTGCATTTCATCCAGGATCCTTCTTTCTTTTTCCAGCGCTTGGTCTTTCAGTCTCAGCAGGAGCTGTGTTTTAGAGTGTGCCATCACCAGCTCCTTCACCTCTTCTTGTAATGAGGCAACCTGATGGATGAACTTCCCAATGGTGTCACCCTTTGGAATAAATATCAATGGAAAAATCTTTGTCAAACTTCAGAAAATTATTAGAAAAGTCTGATATCACTTAGGAACATCAAAAGTGGAATTTTGCCCCAGACAACAGCTAGGTACTCAAAGATGGTGCCAAATAAGACATACTACGGCAAACCTTTTGGTCCAAAAAGAACAACAGTGGAAAGTAAACTTTACAGATCATTGAAAAAACTAAAAAGAAAAAAAAAATGCAGTGAAATTTACACGAAAGACAAAATTGTAAAGAGACAACTTATTTTAGGTTAACAACCTCCCCCCATCCCCCATTCAGTCACAAACATTTTGAAAGGTCTTATGTTGAACTTAGGTGTACTAATAAACCAGTTTCAGGTTGACCTTACAAACATTGATAGAAAAGCCAATGACAATTTAAAAAATACTTATATTCCTAATTGTTTTAATTTATCTCTAGATTTCAGCTCCACACAGCAGTTCTGGTTTGATGCAAGTTAAATATTATAAATTTGTTACTAGGATTCAAATGTTCTGACTTTAACAAATTTCTTAGTACAGTAAAATTTTGATTACCCGCCACTCATTTAACCATCAGTTTCTGTTATCCATCATTGTCTAAAACAAATGTGTGAGAATCAACAAACAGACAAGCTTGCTTACATTTGATGATGCCATGACAGTCAAAGAGTTTTAGAAGAGATACAATATAAAGAGCACTATTTTCAGTGTCGCTACTGCCAGGAATGATCTAACGGTGTCTAATCTAAAGAAAGGGTGGCATAAACTCTTGCCTGAACCTACTGACAAAACTGAGGGAACTGAGAATGTTGGAACTATTGATGAAATTGTGCAAGTGTACAACAATATAGGACTAAACAGAGAAAACATTACACCAGAAGAATTAACAGATTGGTTGGAATATAACAAAATTGATGGAGGGGTTGAAATTTTGAACGATGATGAAATTGTTTGTAGTGTGTCTACAATTGAAGAAGAAGAAACTGATGACAATAAAGGATCAGTTCTTAACAAAAAACCTAGCCACTGAGAAATAGAAACAATGTTATCAAAGTGCATCAACAGGTTTGAAATGCAAGAGGAGGCAAATACAACACAGATCATACTTCTGCGTAAGATACAGAACATCGCCACGCAGAAAGCTCAAGCCTCAAAGACATAAATTATTTCAAAGTAAGGTAGGTTTACATTATTGCAATATCCCCGTGTGGGCTCCGGGGCCCCAATGTGGGAAAAACAAGAATAGACCCACTGTCTCCCCCAACAAGCATGTCGTAGGAGTGCACTAACTGGGGACCTCCTTTGAAGAGTACATCTGCCTGAGAGGCAAGCAGCCACATAAGCCAGATCTGTGAAACAAACTCAGATTCTGGAGCAAGACTAAAGTCTGGAGGTGGAAAAACACCCAGAACTTTCCCCCGGAGTTTACAGCTGGTGAATGTGAAGAAGAAGAAAAGTATATTTTTCTGTACATTAAAGTAAAGTAAAGAACCCATTTCCGCGCCTTCAGATGTATTTGGTATATAGGGCTAGACCTATATTTTATAGACCAACTAATAATCTATTGGTGATGTGGTTAACACCACACTGGCCACCTTTACTTAACAGGACTATACCTGGTACCCTTTCAAGGCTGGGTCAACAAGGAGCCAAGGTCATTCAAAAAAAATGTCAGGCTCTGTCAAGACCCAAACTCATGACCTTTCGATCCGCAAGCAAGGATCTAGCTGCGTTGCTATGGCGGCTCCCATTTATGTATACTACTACTCTAATATTGAAGTTTATATTGATCGTTTTGTATAATTAAATATTTTATGCATGTATCATTCACTTTTAAAGAATTTTATTTTAATTTTGACCCCAAGCCCACAGGCAAATCATGTTACTATACATATGTATTAAGAGATTTATGTTATCTGTCTATTCGGTTATCTGTCACAGCCCTGGTCCGGAGAGCAACAGTTAATCCAAGTTTTACTTTACTAGGAAAACTCATCTTTTGTATTTTGAATTTATTATCTCTCTTTTTTTTTGCTAAACTTCCCTTCATTATGATTTAAATAAGAGTATGGTTATAACTCTACATTCTTACCTGCTCTTTGTTTTTCTGCACATATTCTTCCCTCATTTTGTCTAGCTCTTCAATATCTTCATGAACAGCCTTTAAAGTCATAAGTATGTCACAGGAATTAAAAGATCTTACAGCTATACAATGTTACAGTTAGAAGTATAAAAGCAATACAATGTTACAGTTTGAATTAAAAAGCAATACAATGTTACAGTTAGAATTAGAAAGTAATACAATGTTACATTTAAAATTAGAAAGTAATGCAATGTTACAGTTAGAATTAGAAAGTAATACAATGTTACAGTTAGAATTAGAAAGAAATACAATGTTACAGTTAGAATTAGAAAGAAATACAATGTTACAGTTAGAATTAGAAAGTAATACAATGTTACAGTTAGAATTAGAAAGTAATACAATGTTACAGTTAGAATTAGAAAGTAATACAATGTTACATTTAAAATTAGAAAGTAATACAATGTTACAGTTAGAATTAGAAAGTAATACAATGTTACAGTTAGAATTAGAAAGTAATACAATGTTACAGTTAGAATTAGAAAGAAATACAATGTTACAGTTAGAATTAGAAAGTAATACAATGTTACAGTTAGAATTAGAAAGTAATACAATGTTACAGTTAGAATTAGAAAGAAATACAATGTTACAGTTAGAATTAGAAAGTAATACAATGTTACAGTTAGAATTAGAAAGTAATACAATGTTACAGTTAGAATTAGAAAGAAATACAATGTTACAGTTAGAATTAGAAAGTAATACAATGTTACAGTTAGAATTAGAAAGCAATACAATGTTACAGTGGATCACATAAAGTATTACAATTTCAAATATAAGTATACATAAAAATTTTTACAAATAGTATCAAAAGGTGAAACAATTTATTTTTTAAATCACACAAGGAAGAGTAAATTTACAGTCAGATATACTAAAAACAAAAAAATTATAAAAGATATAAAAAAAATTTTTGTGTGTAATAATTAAAAAAAAACATCTGAAAGAAGAACAGTTCAATGTAGAGAAAGTCTTTCCTCTGGAATTCACAAGGCTAAAAAAACATACAGAAGCCTAAAAGAGTAATACAGGAAAGACACAGAAGCAACTGCAAAATGTGGCAATAGACAGTATTAGATCTAGGGTGAAAAGGACATCAGGAAATGGGAAAGGTTAGGGGAGGGAAAAACCCACTGCAACCTAACAAGCATATCACTAAAGGGTGACTAATTGGGAATTTGCTGAAATGTGATGTATTGGGCAGAAATATGCACAACACAATGTAACAACTGTCTATTTAAGAGCAAAAGCAAAAGAAGAATTATTCAAGTGGAAAACAAATCTAAATTAACAAACAAAAAATGTTTAAACAGCAACTGAAGACATGCCTTCATCTTGCTAAGGTTTTCCTCCAACTGTTTTTTGGTGGTGTGTAGATATTGTAGTTTGTGCCTTTGACCAGACATCTTTCTTTTCAATTCATTCTTTTCTTTTTCTGCTTCTGCCATTTTCTGACGAAGTTCTGAATTTGCTTTCACCAGGTCTTGGTTTCGGGATGACAAATTTTCATTCTGTCTGCAAACCTGAAAACAGGCAAATCAAATTCTACATTATTTATGTGAAATACTTAAATCAAAACTGTATTTCTACCCAATGAAAACTAATTTTAGATTTTTCCTCTTCTGCTGCTATTTATGCCTCCTAGGAGTGCAGATCCTCAACCAACTCATGTTAAGTCATCTGATCTCATTGGCTTTCTTGAACATTTTACTCCCTGGTGCAGCAGGGAGTGACCAAAGGGTCTGGCTAACACTCAACACTCAGAGGAAAGACAAGATGAACAATCAATCAGATTGCTACTGGTACTACAGTAAAACAGATTGCTACTAGTACTACAGTAAAACAATCAGATTGCTACTTGTACTAGAGTAAAACTTTGATTAACCATCACTGTCTGGACCAGGACTGTGACAGATAAATTAATAAATAACAGAAATCTCGAACTACATGTGTACAATAATGGGATTTCACTTCGGGCTTCAGACAAAAATGAAAATAAAATTCTTTAAAAGTGAATGCGACTGAGACCAGTAAGTAACAGAATAGCGACTGGTTAGTGATGATTTTCTGGAGCGCTAGATCAAGCTTAACTCCTCCGCCACCGACGATTAATCACTTCCGCCTTCATACAGTACAGTCACTTCCAGCATTACACCAAAGAGTGTAAAAGTAATCCATGGACAATTTTGAAGATGTCTCTTTGTTTGCTGGCACTCATGCAATTTTTTAGGACAACGACAGACAAAGAAACTGACAGTTAAACAAGTTAATGGAAGTTTCACTGTACTGGAAGTGGATCTCTTTTTTAGCACTTCTAAAAGGGGGCCCTAAAACATACACAGTGATAAATTTGTTTGATAAAACTGCCATACCTCCTGTATTTACCACTTTAGTGGTGTAGCCGAAGGGGGTGGGGGGCGTTTGGGGGGTCTTTCGGTTGGATTTAGGGCCCTATTGCTAGCGCTGCTGGCTTAGGCTGTGCCGGTGGGGATTTTATTTTTTTCCTTTGACAGAAAAAATCCACAACCTGACTGAAAATTCAAACATGTGTCTCCAACATGAAAGCCCTGTGTTCCTAATCATCTTAATTTATTTCTGTCCTAAATAACAGACTATGCATGACTGGGTATTATTCATGTGTAACAATCTTCACTGTATTTAAAAAAAAACATCTTATTTTTAGTGGGGGACTCTGAAGAACTGTTATAACATATTTGTTTCCTGCAAGGGTTGTATATTTAACCCCTCTGGAAGAAGTATACCCATGAGTTTAGCAGTGGCATTCTTAACTCCTTTGGACAATAGTTAGGACCTTGTGGGACAGAAAGAGTTAATCTATTTAATAACACATTCGAATAGCACATAATTTTTTTTTTAAACTGACTAACCTCTGAAATTTCCTTGGCTGTTTTCTTCCCAGCTTTCTGTCGTTCCTTCTTTAGTTCTTCTCGTAAATGTTCCATCTTATCTTCATAATTTTTTATCTCGCGCTTTGTTTCTTCCTGCTCTTTCTTTCTGTTCATAAAGAAAACATTGATATAAAAACAAGGAGAGTCATGTAATATGTGATATGTTTGGGTGTCACACATACTAGGTAATAATGCCATATAACCAGGCAGTCACAGCTCACAAAGATTAGTTTCATTTCCATACGAGGGTATGCTGGTGAACAAAGAAATGAGCAAGTTGATAGGCTTGCAGGTAAAGCTACTGTGGAGGACTTACAAGTCATTGACCAAGTTGATATACTGAATGCTCATTGAGAAACAAGATGTTTGTGAAAACCATGTGAGGACTGTAAATCCGCAACCATGGTCAGACTGCAAGAATAGCAAGTTAAATGAGACATAGCAAAACTAGTGCACTATGCAGGAAGCCAAAGAATACCCAAGGTGTCACTCATATCCAGTGCCCATCTTCATGCTGGCAGACCCCTGTCTCTTTTTTTTTTCTGATACCATGTCTTCTGCTTTTATAATTTTCTAATCCACTGTGGCGCTTGACATGGCCACAATATTTCAGTTTCCAAGACAAGATGCTGTTTACTAGCCAATCTTTCTTGATGTTGAGATCTTTTAGGATGTTAATATTTCTTTTCTTTTTTTGTCCATGATATTCTGATAATTTGTTCTTCTTCTTCTTAGCATTCACTGGCTGTATACTCACGCAGAAAGTTGTGGTTATTTGTCCACTTCTGAACATTGGTTTTGTTCTAGAAATAGAGTTTTGCATGCACATCCATTTTACAGATCGGTCTTATTTGTGAGCAGACTGTTGGTTTCTCCCCTATCAGGCAGATGTACTCCAGCTTTGAAGGAAATAGTCATAATAAGTCACCTCCTATGACACACTTGGTAAGGTGGGGGGGGGGGGGGGGATTTGGTCGATTGTTTTTTCCCCAAAATAGGGTCCTGGCACAAGCGGAGAAAGTGTGATTCTATTATCCTTATCTTAGACTGCATGCATGTTTGTTGCCTTTTCTTGTGGGTGAAGTAGCCTTTCCCATACCAACCCTTAGTTACCTCTTATGACACGTATAAAGATTACAGTGTTACTTTTCTTTTATTCAGGCTAATCCCCATGTTGGCTCCAGGGCCCCATTGTAGGGGGGAGGGGTGGGTATATCATAGTAATCGACTAATTGTGGACTTCCTTTGAATCAAAGTGCATTTGTCCGAGCGGTAAGGAACAACCAACTGCACACAAATAAGCCAGTAAAATGGGTGTACATGCAAAACTCGAGCCCTAGCACAAAACCAAAGTCCAAATGGATGAACAACAAGAACCTTCCACTGGAGCTCACAGCTGGTGAATGAAGAAGAAGAAAAAGATTCAGGTTAAGAAATTTTTCATCAAAATTATTTTTTTATGAAAAATTAAAGGTGAGAGGGGCAGATTATCTGTATATGGATGAGCTGGAAAAAGAAGACTGATTTCAAATTCTTACCTGGAGATTTTTAACTGACCAATCAGACTGTCACGTTTTCCCAGCTCCACCTGTAAGTTAAAAATAAAAAAAATAATAATTTAAAAAAACAGTATTTTATACCAAGAAATTGCAATCTGGCATTAGCCTATAGGCATACTAAGAGCTTGTTCAACGGACTGGGCCAAATTGACAACTGTTGGGTTAGAGCTGAGTGGGACAGAGATGCGTGGGGCACAGTCATGTAGGACAAAGCTGTGTGAGAAAAAGCAGAAAACATAGAGCTGTGTGGGATAGCGCTAAAAGAACAGAGCTGTGTGGGATAGAGCTAAACGTACAGAGCTGTGTGGAATAGAGTTAAAAGCACAGAGCAGTGAGCGATAGAGCTGAAAGCGCAGAGCTGTGTGTGATATAGCTAGAAGCACAGTGCTATGTGGGACATAGCTGAAAGAACATAACTGTGTCGGACAGATTTGTGTAGAACACAGCTTTGTGGAACAGATCTGTGTGGGACAGAGCTGTGTGGGACAGAATTGAAAACACAGAGCTGTGTGGGATAAAACTGTGTGGGACAGAAATTGTTAGAGAAATAACTAAAATGTGTGGGTTAATATGTCAACTGGCTGGGACAGAAGTAAAAAATACACAAAATATTGAGGGACACACCTGAAGACTCTCAACCACATGCTGCAGCTGGTTGTGTGATGTCATCACAGCTTCCAGTGTCCCAGTTATCTCCCTGTTGATGTTCTTGGCATCCTCCATGTTTTTCTCATATCGAGAAACCTGTACAAAAAAAGCCATAATTCAAAAGGTTCTTTTAATTTTATATTTTATATGTGTAGAAGTATGCAAATGATTTACACAATATTTTTCCCATGTTCAAATGTTAAATTTACACAAATAGATTTCTATGGAACCCCCTCCCCCCACCACATGCTCACTGTGTTCTTCTTATTCTTAGCATTCACTGGCTGTAAACTCTAGCAGTAATTTCTAGTTGTTTGTCCACTTCTGGACTTTAGGCTTGTTCCAGAACTTGAGTTTTCATGCATATACGTTTTACAGATCAGGCATATTTGTATACAGACTGTTAGTTCCTCACCTATCAGGCAGAAACACTCCGACTTCAAAGTTAAATTGGTCACTTTTTATGACATGCTTGGTGGGGGAGGGGACTAACTCATTCGGTCCCAAGTAGCGCATCATGTGTGATAAACTAGTTTTCATAAATGCCAAACATTAGTAGTATGCTCTTCTACTTTTTTGCTTTTGGCCATAGAATTCTAAAGAAATATGTCATACAGTTGCCTCTTTGAAACTTTTGTACTCAGGATTTTTTATATGATTACTTGTCTCCTTAAACCACTGCTGTGAAAAGTTCTAGGACTGAAAGAGCTAAATATATGCAAGCAGATTTATGTACCCCCCCCCCCCCCCCCCCCCCCCACATTCTTGGAAATGTATGTCTTGTAAGATGGGAAAGCAACACGTATAGATTTCCTCACATTTTCATGAGTCTAAAGTGATTTATTTGGTTCGTTTCTCACATTTTCATGAGTTTACAGTGATGTATATGGTTTGTTTCCACCTTTACATGAGTTTAGAGTGATTTAAATGGTTTGTTCCCCCCCCCCTCTTCCCACCCCTTTCCCTATTTTCATGAGCTTCAAGGGACTTATATGATTTTCCCTCCACATTTGCATCTGTCCAAAGGTTTGCAAATTATCTGTATGATGTCCGCAAAAGTAATTAAGAATTAAATACTTTCATCTGAGGTTATTCGTTTGTTTCCCCACACGAGGCAGTTGGCATCTATTCTATGTAGACGGTGTGAGTGTATGACCTGCCTGAGGCATCAAGGACGACAGACTGGGAAAACCACTACAACCCCACCTCAATAACTGACACTATGAACTCAGCCACCAACTCTATGAACAAGACACAGCAGGTTGGCATCTTCCCACGAATAGCACTGGTCGGTCAAGAGTAAATAACTACAAAGCATAATAGCATAATAAAGTTACAGATCAATTTACTTATTTAGGTAGTAAGTTTGACAGTGAAGGAAATACAAAGAAAGAAATTATGACACACACTGGCAAAGCATCAGCAGCTATTAATACTTGAACAAAATATGGACTCTAAATTGTATAGTTTTAAAACCAAAATATGCATTTTCATTTCTAATGTTATTTTAGTTTTAACATACGCCAGTGAAAGTTGGAGAACCACTAGAGACATGGAATGAAAGTTAAATGCATTAAAAAAACAAATGCCTAAGAAAAATTTTAAAATAAAATTGGATGAATTAAAAAGGAGTGAAGAAAAAAGAGAAACTTCTGGGCGACCTCTAGTATGAACAGTTATAAGACAGAGAAGATGGTGCTATATTGGACACATACTAGGAAGAAACCAGCAGAGAACCACCAAACAGGTACTGAAATGGAAAATAAAAGGGTTAAGGAGGTGAGGACACCCAAAAGAAACTCTAAAACGAATGTTGATGAGAAACAACAAAGTTGCTGGACTGAATCCCATCAATGATTTCGAACTGATTGTAAAGAATAGAATGAAACAGAGGAACAGACTGCAAACCCTATGTGACATATAATGGCACAACAGGATAATGAATTAATGAATGATAAGAGCCAGAAGAATATCAACAGGATGTAAAGATTAAAGAACAACATGTAAGGTTCTTGCCTTGTAGAGTTGTCTTCCCTCTAGAACCTCAATCTGTGTCAGCAGCTTCTCCCTCTCTAGCTCCACCTCCTCTCTTCTGGCTTGAGCCATCTTTAACTCTTGATCCTTTTGCTTCAGATCCTCAAAGGCCATTCTGGACTGCCCTTCTAATTTCTGAAGTGCAGTCTTGTATTCTGATATCTCCTGCTGACTCTGTGTTAACAAGGAAACATTAAGAATGTCAAGCATAAATCAAATCTTACCCTTGATAAATCGCCGTGGCCAAGCGGATAGGCGCGGCCACAGATCGGAAGGTCGTGGGTTTGCTCCCTGGCGAAGCCGGACTTTTTCAAAAATAACATTGGCTCCCAGGTCGACCCAGCCTTGAGTGGGTACCAGGTGCAGTCCCGGTAAGTAAAGACGGCCCGCGTGGTGCTGACCACATCACCTATCTTGTGTCGATTGGTCTATAAAAATATAGGTCTAGCCCTATTTGCCCTATACGCCTGATGGCGTGGAAAAGGGTCCTTTACTTTTTTTTAAAAACTTTTTACCCTTGATAACTTAATAGTTGAATTAGTCTCCTCTTCTTATTATTTGCATTTTTTTAGTCCATGCTACACAATGTTGTATATCAAGTCTGTTCAGACTAATTTCCATCTTGTGTCCGGCAAGTGAAAAGGGGTGAGGCTAAACAAGAGCACTTTGCAGGAAGAATAGTAAACCAGCCACTTCATGCTGAGGGATTTATTGAGGTTTCTGAGCATTTTTACTCAATGGTTTGATGTGCAGTGAAGATCAATGTGCAATAAGGATTGTTGTGTAATGAAGATCACTGTGCAGTGAGAATCGATGTGCAAAGAAAATGAACTGTCAACTTCTTCTTCTTTATGTTCACTGGTTGTAAACTCCAGTGGAAAGTTATGGTTGTTCATCCACTTCTGAACTTTAGTCTTATACCAGAACTTGAGTGTTGCATGCACATCCATTTTACAGACCTGACTTTTTGTTAGCAGACTGTTGGTTCCTTGCCTCTCAAGCAGATGCGTTCTGACTTTGAAGAAGCTCCCCAATTAGTTGACTCTTAAGACATGCTTGCTGGGAAAACAGTAAACTAACTAACTTGTATACTGTTAGTCAGTTTTGATACATTGTTCTTACATGTCATTATACCAAGGATTCTCTCTTTCTTTGGCTTTTCTTGTTTCTTTAACAGATTGTCTACTTCTGATTCAGGTCAATCAGTTCTCTCTGTGAGCTGATTTCTGTCTAGACACCTTCACTAGGCTATTTATCTGTCAATGGTGTTTTTTGTTGTTGCTACAAAACCAAATCCAGGCAACTTCCAAATAGTTTCTCACAAATATGCTGACTGTACGTGATTTTCTTCCATACGCCATGGTTGGTGGACATAGCGCTTAAATATTACTTTATTAAATATTATATTATGATTGCCTGGAAATGGCTAATGAAAGTAGAACACTATTATATACATCAATGAGAAGGAGACAAAGTTCTTTGGCCATCTGATCAGAAAAGGAGCACTGGAAAATATTGTGACGACTGGAAAGATCACTGATAGAAGAAGCAGAGGCAGACCAAGAGAAATCATGGTGGATGGTTTAACTTAAGACAGTAGCATGGTAAAATATCATAAGTGGAATTGATCCAGAACACCAAAGACTGAGATCTGCGGAGATGCATGAATGCCTATGCCAGCTGGCAAGGCACTTGATGATGATGATATTATAAAATATCACCTTGGCATATTTAACTTGCAGGCTCTCTGTCAGCTTCCTCATTTGAAGGATGCCCATATGATCCTTTGTGACCTCGGCCAGTTCCTGCTGCAGCTGATCAACTAAAGATTGAAGTTTACCATTCTCATATGCCAGTTTGTTCTTCTGTTCTAACATTTCCTTTAGAGCAGCTTCAACTGTACGCTGGGTTGCCTGTTTAGAAAGTAACACTCAAATTTAAAATAAAATAAAATTTACTACACTAGTTATCAATCAACAAAGCAATTATCTCTACAATGAATACTGTTTATTTAACATTTACAGAAATGTATCTTCTAAGTAAGTAAAAAAATTGTACCCCATAAGGACATCACACAAAGCGATAAACACCCAGTGACACAAATTACCACCATGCAGAGGAGGGTCACCCGTGGAGAGGTCCCAGAAACTACATTTAACCGTGTGGAAAGACTTGGTTGTTTGTCCAGTTGTGTACGAGTTTTGCATGGACATCTGTTCTACAAATCGAGCTTATTTGTAAAATAAAATCAGAATCATAAGAAACTGGCTTTACAACCTGTATTTACCTATTATTAAGATGATGTAGGTCATGAGGCATCTTTAGCTTGACAATTTAGAGCGCTTTGCTAGTTACCTAACCATGAACTGTGCAGGTCAGCATTTATTTGCTGTTTGTGATTTCACTTGTAAGTTTATTTTCAGTAGTTTGCGATTGCTTACTGAATGATCGGCTCTTGATACCACTGTCGAAATCAATGTAAGGCAGTCTGCTGCCAAATCACCCACAGCTGGGATCGAACCGGGTATCTCAGGATTACAAACCAGGTTTATAACCACTAAGCCAGAGACAGTGATTAATTTAGTGGGCTTTTAATTTTCTCTAGTTGTGATCCAACAATAACCCTCCACTATACTGTAATATTTCAAAAATGATGTTTCAGCTATTTCACAGAACACTGGTACATTTCACAATCAATATTTCACCTAAAATCTACCCAGTACCTGCTATATTTTCTCTAAAAACAGCTTAGTACCTGCTATATTTCATCTAAAATCAGCCCAGTACCTGTAATATTTCGCCTAACAACTTCCCCAGTGCCTGTTAAATTTCCCCCCAAATCCCCAGTACCTGCTATATTTCACCAGTACCTGCTATGTTTCTCTCATAATGTATCCATGACCTGATAATTTTAATTATAACTTCCCCAGTACCTGATATATTTCACCCATTATGTCCCCACTACAGTTTACTTATAACTTCCCCAGTACCTGATATATTTCACCATTAAGCTTCCCACACATCTCATATTTCAACCAAAATTTCTTGAATGCTATTACACAACCGGCCTGGAGTTCAGTTTGTAACCTTGACCTTTCTGACATCAAGGTGTCCACCGTCTGATTGACCTGCCGTATTGAGAGACATTATGTTATGTTAAAGCAAACATTTTGTAGAATTTATTTTGTTAAGGTATACAATCAGACTAATGCTGGTACCACAGGAATTAGAACTATGCGCTTGCTTCTGAAGATGGGGATGGAGGGCTCATGGGAATTCTCCAGTGCTGTGATGTTGATTCTTAATTAACTTTTTACTGACTATTGATTATTTTAGTGGCATTTGAAACCTTCTCGTTTGGACTATTCGCCATTAAAGTGGCATTTGATAGAGCCACTCTAATATTGTTTAGTTTGCTTAAAAAATAAATTTGTTATAAAATGTTTTTAAAAATCAGAATTAGTGAAATAAAGTCCTTTAGTTTTTGGAGTTTGGCATGCCGTTTGTGTCACTTTCTGATTTGCTTTAGATTGATTATGTGTGATACAATTTGTATGTGATTTTTCAAAAAATGTTAAGGAAAAAGGACTAAACCTGTTCATACTACTCTGTCATTGATAAATCTCAGCCAGACAGTGACAATAGTCTTGATATTATGTTTGATAATGCAAGTGGCAATACTGACAATAATGTAGGTTAGGATGATATTGAACAAAATATTTAAGTTGGATCATCTCTGTTTTAATTAGCAGTTTTCCTGATTTCAGTTGTTGTGATTTATGACATGTCAAAACAAAAATGGTCATAACATCCAAAGTATATAAAATAATTGTTTTAAATAAAGACTAGCTGATACATAAGTGAGAAAGGAGGGGCAGGAGCTGACCAACATGAAGATGGGCACATGATATAAGTGACTCTTTGAGTATGAAAGTACATGAGATGGGAAAGCTGGTAAAAGACCAAGTTTCTTTCAGGCAGACATTCTGCAAAGGAGCTACTACATGATGATGATGATAATGATGAAACGTAATTAAACAGAGAATGCATGAGAATTCTTAGAATTGGATAGCAATGTTTTTGAACAAGTAAAAAGTGAAGTAATTGTGTGTGTGTATGTAAAAAATCATCATATGTGTCTAACATCCTTGAATATTGTATGATTTTAATATTATTTTTTTAAATACTGACATTTAAATAGTTTAGATTTATTTTGCTCTCATTTCTCTTTAAGTTGATATATGTCTCTATACAGCCATTACATTTTCTTCAGGAAAGTTTTAGCTTTGTCATGTTGCAGTAAAATAATTTTGCCCAAAATTAATGCTGTCCAAATCCCAGAAAAAATGTGGTCCTGAAAGAGTTAAACACGAAACTTTATTTTAAGACAAACATTATAAGTGGTATTTATTACGCTAAAGCAGACACTGTGTGGTATTTATATGTTAAAGCATATGTATACATTCAGTTAAGACAGGAAGTATGTGATATTAACTTTATTGAAACATACAGATATTGCATGGAACAATTAGAATCTAAGCTTTCAACATTTTCTGAAGAAAACAGAGCACCTATGGATTTGCATAGAGTGCTATAAAGTAGTTTCTTAAAATCAAAAAGAATTATTGACAACTGCTTATGCTCATATTACCTCTTTTAGCAGATTGACTTAAAACCAAGAAGAGTTTTTGACAATCAAACAAGTTCATATGACATCTTTCAGTAGCCTTTCTTCATAACAAGAATATTCTCGACAACTGCATTATTTCACATTACCTCTTCCAGCAAATTTTCCTTGTCCTTGAGGACTTTCCACTTGTCCCTTTCCATGGCATCCAGCTGTTTCTTGAATCCAGCTAGCTCAAGTTCAAGGCCATCTGCTGCACTAGCAAATTCCAGATTTTTCTGGGCTAGTCCGTGTTTCAATGCTTTCAGTTCTTGCTGTAAGCTGTCTCTTTAAACAGAAATAAAGGAGAGAAAATTGCTAAGAAAAAAAGAAGAATTTGAACAGTGAGACAATAAAACTGCATAATTAGTCAGAAAAGGACCATCCAGTATCAGAAGAAGAAGAAATTAGTTGTGTATCCTTTACAGGACGCTGCAGAATCTATTTCAGCATTTATTTTTTAGCTGTTGCACTTCTTCTAAGCAAATTTACATTTAGTAGTTTGCCA